CCTGTCTGTTACAATCCCAAAAACTGTTTATTTCAGATATATAATACCATCTGGCACATAATACCTGGTATTAGATGCCCTGGTATTATTACTGAGTTATTATCACCTCAGTAATAATACCAAGGTATGGTGGTGCAGTTGATATGACTTTGGGCTCAGGAATGTTTGTCTGAAGTTCAAATCCCAAGAGGGGCAGTTTATTATTCATTTATTTCCCTGTCAGTGTGAGTGCGTGTGTGTGTGCGTGTGTGTGTGTGTGTGTGTGTTGTGTGTGCATTTTGCATAATGAGCCCAGTGTGTCTTGGTGAGAATAATTTTTTGTGGTTTTCTTTGTAACAATTTCCTGTTGAAAAACACATATCATACTCGTTTCTGCATTATAATCAATCCTATCCAGGCGTAACTTGAGTTATGCCAGGATAAATACCTAGCTGTAACTAGAGGGCATTTCAAAACGCCTATAAGGTATGCATTAACTAAAATCCCAAGTAGGCGTAACATAGATAGGTTTGAAATGCGTAGCATTTTTGGCTAGAAATGCATATAAAACGCATTTTAAAATGCCCAAATTATTTGCTGGGCAGTACAATCATATTGCTGGCAGCATGATGTTCTTCCACAGGTTGATGACAACATGTGTGCTGGGTTGGGCAATTGCCTGCATTGGTTCACTGGACAGCCCGGGGGACACGTCATCCATTTTGGTGTGTATAGTCCAATCATGCAGGGTTGCCATAGTTTGTTTTTAAGCGGCTGAGACTGCAGTAAGACTTTCTTGCCTCTACAATTCACAATACTGTGTAGGAAAACTTGTACTGGATTATAGCATACACTTGAGATGAACACAATGGTAGTGGTTTATTTGCATTCACTCTGGTAGCAGAATATTTACTAGACAGTTCACAATGGCACTTGTCAATTCGACTGACAACCATTTGGTATGGGAGCTATACAGTTAGTGAGGCTGGCTGGGTCCTCAGGGGTGTACAACAGATTTGGCTGATGCAAGCACGTGCGTGTATTTCATCACCCTTACAATATTGGGCGCACGTAACAAAGTGGAAAAACATTCAATGTTGCGTTTGCAGGCCGTTGGCATGGGCCTTGATGGTGGCGCCTATGGGCCCATGCAAGGGTCATACTAAATGTCCTTTGGCAACTCAGGAGCTCAAAACTGCCTCCACCTCTAGAATAAATTTTCCAACAAGACATTGGCACAAATGTCTGCACCAACCTTCCTTGTGCTAAACACTTCTGAGAACTCACATGGTGCCCTCTTTGAATAAAAGCACTTTCACCAGCCATGGTGTATGACCTGAGAACCAGGTCTACAGAGAACAAGAGAACTATACACAACCTGAGAAACATGTCTGAGAAGAAAAGGAACGCCTGCCACTGAGATAAAAAGGAAAGATCCTCTGAGCCAGCAAAAAGGAAAGATCCTTTGAAATAATTTGGGACTATCTACTCCAAACCAGGGGTGTTGATTGCACTCTGAAAGGTAGTAGTGCAATCCCATGCACAAACTGTTGAAAATATTGCTACCGCAGCTAAGAAAATAATTCTTGAAAGTTACAATTTTACACATTCTTTGCAAGGAATACACTTGGGAAAGGTTAACCACAAATGCAACTGAAATGCAACTTCAACATTCTTATCTGCAATCACAAGTATGTTTGGTGCCAGATTTTGTCCCACAACTATATGATCCAAATGAAAATCTTCAAAAATGTTTACAAAACCTGCATTTAAAATTGTTACATAAATACATCAGAAAATAATGACAAGATGCCTAGCTTTCAAACAAAATTTCAGAAATTCTACATCTCTAGGGACAAAAATAGAGTATTGCAAGGAGTGATAAATAAATGGCAGTAAGAAATTATTAAAAAGTCTTCAAGCACAGAAAGGCCAGCAGACATGCCTTCTGAACATCACCTTGAGTTTTACATTCACAGCAGGAAATGAATTCACTAGAGTTAAAGTTGTGCATTATTTTGCTTTGAAGAAAGAACTTAAAATCTTTACTTGGGCTCCAGCTCTATGTGTTGCAACTAAGAACTGATCATGGCCTGTGAGGCAGTTGAACTAGGAATTTGAATGTTTTTTTATCAATTTCATAGGCTTTTCAAGCTTGACGACATGTCATACGGAAAAAAAGGAATGAAAGAAATACATAGACACAGCTAATGTCTCATTTCTCAAAGGCAGAAGCCAACTTTATGATATGCATGTGAATTTCATGCAGTCACTTGCCTACTTCTTGCCAGTGTGACCACTTTTCTGGCCATCAAATTTCTTCCTGAATTTTTTTATTAAAAAAACACAAGCTTTAAAATGTTCAGCACAAAGAACAGTTTGCGCAGCAGTCAGCACCCTTGCAAAAAAGGAAAACATGTTCTCAAAAGCAGCAGATGCTGGCAAAGTTGTATTCAGAGCAATGAATACCTTCTTGATAAAGGGATACTTCCAAAAGTACATGAAATCTCAATTTTCATCTTGGAGGAACTGAGGTATCTGAGCATCCATCCATTTTGATTTCAAGTTGAATTAGGAACAGTGCTGCAATTCTGATCCAAAAGTTTCTAGAAGTTTGATCTGTTGGGTGAAGTGCTTTTTGAACTTCCATTTCCAAGAGTTTCATTTGTTGAGGTTGACTGTAGTTCTTCCAAGACATATTTATCAGCATACTTTCTCAGGATTGCCTTAGTTCCCTCTTGATAAGGACCTTTTTCTGCTTCAATCATCCAATCATCTCTGAACTGTGGGTGACATAAGGCTGCAGCAATGCAGTCTGCATCCATGTACACCTTCTGTTTGTATAGAAAGTCGGATATAAGCATTGGATGAGTAAACCAATCTGCCAGGAACAAGAAACCTGATTGATTACAAAGAAGCAAGGAATTGAGCTTAAACACACCCTTCCTTTGTATCCTTGCTCAACCCCAATAAATGCACAGAAATGTTTCTCTGTATGGAGAAGTTTTATGAATGCGCATCCCTATCAGACTGATATTTACTTGACTTGAACTTGATTTAAACTACTGATTTCAACTAAGGAGAATGAAAAATGCAATGACATGCGTATTCTATTAATGAAGATGTGAGACTATTTGCCATTTGAAGAATGCTTTTACTTGGTTATACATTGGAAAGCATTTTCTGATGCATTCAAAGAACCAAACAATTTTTTTCAAGTTTTAATTTTTCACCTTGAATCTTGTTTTCATACGATCTTCAGGACTTCCTCAGCCACTGCATCACACAGTTTCAAGCCACCGGAATCAGTTTTCTCCTTCTTGATGCCCAACTCAATCACTTTCAGAATTGGGAGCAGTGAGCCATGGCCAACCCAGGAAAACCTAGTCCAAATATTCAGGGCAGGTCTGAAAAGGATGGGAACAGACGCGTACAACTAAGCGTCCACATCCCGCATATTTGTACTTTTACAGAAGTTATTCATGGTGGACTGGAACATGAAGCCTCCAATGTGGTCATGTCCCCAGCGGAAGGTATCAAGAATGTTAAATGGACTTGTCCACATTTCCAACAGTTGGATGCATCAGAGAAAGATGCGTGTATTACAGGTCCCTTCACCATCCATAATGAACATGTCCAAAAGCTTGAAAATTGGATGCATCTGGCCTGTGTCCAGAAAGGACTCTAGCAAGGTTTATTGCCAGCTGCCTGCAATAAACCTGGCACCAGCAAGCCAGAAGCATTACAAGCATTACTCACTCCAACATGTTCTGCATGTCCTGACTTGCAAGAAAGAGAATGCAAGGATTCTTGTTTTGCCTGTGAAGCAAGAATTCTTGGGTTGCACTCCTCTGCCTTCCTACCACCCTCCCTCCCACAGAGCCCCAGCCAGGCCTGCAGGAGGGTCCGGTTTCACATTGTCTTAACTTTGAAAGTTTGGCAACAATTGAATGCTCAATCAAATTCACTTTTTAAAACTTTAAAACAAGCGCCTAGATGTTTGCTGTGTTTCACTTTTTTTTATTTTGAAAAAGCCCAAAAATCGACTAAGTTACAAAAACCACAAAACATTTTTTAAATCACAGATAAATTGAGAAAAAAATATTTTTACATATGTAATTTTAACTTTTTGAGTTTTTGACACTTCACAATGAGAAAAACATGTGAATTTGTAGAACATCCATGTAAATTCACCTTAAAAAATTTATTGAAATTGCTTGAATTTAAAAGAAATTATCACACGTTGAAGTGAAAAACGGGAGGAATGTTAAACATTTTGCAATTTTTGTTGTAACTTGATCAATTTTCAAGCTTTTTCAAACTTTACAAAAGGAAAACATAGCAAACATCAAGGCCCCTTTCATACAGTTTTAAAAAGTAAATTTTGTTAAGAATTCAATTTTTGGCAAGTTTTTAAAGTTAAAACAATGGGAAACCCGCCAGGAATTCTTGGGCCATGTTCCTAATGCGGAGCTCTTATATTTGCTGAGCGCAAATATAAGAGCTCTGCTGAGCAAGGATTCTTGCTCCAAATTCCTCTGCCTCCCACCCACCCTTCCTCCCACAGAGCCCCCAGCCAGGCCTACAGGAGGGTCCGGTTTCCTGTTGTCTTAACTTTAAAAATCTGTCAAACATTGAATTCTTAATAAAATTTACCTTTCAAAACAATATAAGAAGCGTCATGATGTTTGCTATGTTTTCATTTTTTAAATTTTGTAAAAGCTGGCAAATTGACCAAGTTACAACACAAATTGCAAAACTTTTCTCATTCCTCCCATTTTTCCCTTCAGCTTGTGATCATTTCTTTTCAATTCAAGCAATTTCAATTATTTTTTTGAGGTGAATTTATATAAGATGTTCTACAAATTTACAAGTTTCTTTCACCATCAAGTGTCCAAAACTCAAAAAGTTAACATTACATATGTAAAAGTATTTTTTTCTCAGTTTATATATAAAAAATGTTTTGAGGTTTTTTGTAACTTGGTCAATTTTTAAGCTTTTTCAAAATTACAAAAAGTGAAACACAGCAAACATCTTGGCGCTTGTTATACAGTTTTAAAAAGTAAATTTGGATAAGAATTTAATTTTTGACAAGTTTTTAAAGTTAAGACAATGGGAAACCAGACCCTCCTGCAGGCCTGGCTGTGGCTCTGTGGGAGGGAGGGTAGGAGGGAGGCAGAGGAGCACAACCCAAGAATCCTTGCTCTGCCCTCTGAGCAAGGATTCTTGCTCCGCCCTCTGAGCAAGGATTCTCGCTCCGCCCTCAGAGTGACAATTCTTGCTCTGCATTGCAAATGCGCTACAGGAATGTGGCCCAAGAATCCTCGCATCACCCGCAAAGCAAGGATTCTTGGGTTGTGTCAAAATGGGAATTTAAAAATTTGGAGGCTCTTGAATTTGGAAACACATTCTACTTTTTCCAAAATGAATTTAACTTCATCTTTGAATAATTTGAAGGTGTATTAGATTGATTCCTGGACTTTAAGTATGGTTTATAGACTTTATTCTTGTACCAAAAACTGTTGATGCAAAAATTCTTGGGTCAAGATGCCTTGACCTAGTTGAATTGAATTTATTAAATGTCCAAAGTGAAGCTAACAATGTACAATAAGGGAAAAAGTGAATTAGACTTATTCCTGGTTTTTAGGTATGCTTTACAGATGTTTTTATTGGACAAAAATCTGGCAAAGCAAGAATTTTTGAGTTGCAATGTCTTGACCTTGTTGAATGTAATTTTTAAAACATTCAAAGTGAAGTTATTAATGTAAATGAAGGGGGAAAATGAATTAAACTTATTCCTGGTTTTTAGGTATGCTTTACAGATGTTTTTATTGGAAAAAAATCTGGCAAAGCAAGAATTCTTGAGTTGCAATGTCTTGACCTTGTTGAATGTAATTTTTAAAACATTCAAAGTGAAGTTTCTTGAGTTCCAATGTCTTGACCTTGTTGAATGTAATTTTTAAAACTTTCAAAGTGAAGTTAATAATGTAAATGAAGGGAGAAAAGTGAATTAGACATATTCCTGGTTTTTAGGTATGCTTTACAGATGTTTTTATTTGACAAAAATCCAGCAAAGCAAGAATTCTTGCGTCACAATGTCTTACTGTTACTTCTTCAGGTCAGAACTACTGTATTTCGTTTTGACTGACAGGTGTCGTTGCGTCTGTAGGTATACTGTACCTTACAAGGTAGGAGCACAGTATACAGTTCATTGTTTTTGAAATTTGTGAACTACTGTATTGCTTTTGTGTAACCACTGGGTAGGAGGACAACATCAGACATGCCCACGTTAATCTCTATTCTCTACACAGAAAGTCGCGCCTCACAGTGATGTTAACAGTTTGTGTCCAAGTCAGTTACAAGTTGCAACCCATCACATTTCTTTGGACAGCTGGTGATGACCGACTCCGCGGGGGAAAATGTGCGATCAAATCCATAGCTCTTTTCCTCCATTCCGTAAGAAATTTCCAGTAGGTATTTTATAGGTCAAATTCTTTCAGCACTCCAAAACATAAAAACCAGTAAAAATATACTTCTACTCCTGTCAAAATGAAGTAATGGAATTATGGTCGGCCCTTTTAACCAAAATTGCAAGCATCATTGAATTACAGCATTTATCCTTTTCCCGAAATACGCAAGGCAGTACAGTAGTGTCCTCTTCACGGTACAGCACAGCATGTGCGTCTCAATAACATAGCTGATGATTGGACAACACTGGGCCTTATCAGGCGCCATCCTTGATGTAGTAGTCTTCCTTCAGTCCCATGAGAAAGTACTTGCAAAGGACAGGATGACAGCTTTTGCGAGTCTGCGGCAGCGTGAAATATTTTATGCTGGAGAGTTACAAATTCAAACGTGGCATGAAAATCTTTAAACCTGTTTGAAATGAAGGTACAGTACAATCAAAGTTATTTTCGATCGCACTGGATGCACCTGCTCAACACCCTGGACCCAAATAAAATGCATCTTTATTGTTTTTCCCAGTTTTTGTGCCTTTTTATGCAATAATAGCACATAAATAATTCGAATTTCATTAAAAGGCTTATGAGATTCAGCATGTTTCAGTCTCCACATAATTTTGAAAGATCCTATAAATTACATTTGAATCAAGCGACAATCTTGTGTTTCATTCTACTCTGTATATTAGTATGTCTCGCAGTAATGGTATGTTAAAAAATATTTGACATCTGAAAATATAAAAATGTTCGCTTAATTGTCTTGAGTTGTGGCGAATATTTTTTTAACTGTAATTTTTTTTATTTATTTGAAATACTTCTAGTATTTTCATTTTAAAGGCAGTTCGATCTTTTGGAATACGCTGCTATTCAACTAATCATTGGTACTCACCGATAGTTTCTACAAATCCGTTTGTGCAAATATTTCAAATAACGTTTTTCCTCCTGAATATGTTCATACAGTTGTTCTTGAACAGTATTCGCCGTGTAAAATAAGGTATGATTTACCCTACATGGCATCGTTGCAGAGTGATTCCATCCAGCACAATCATTCTCTCTGAGATGTATAGTAGTGCTGCAATTAAACTTTTTCACTCCGTTCTTAATGCTGTAATATTGAATACTGCAGTACTGACTTTCATGATGAGATGCATTCGAATAAGGCAGTCTTTTGATTTATGTTTTTAGATTGTAATATGTAGTATTTTAATTAATGTAATTGTAGTATTTTATTGATCCCATTAAAGTGGAGTGTAACTGATACAAGTATACTTTCCCCAAATCGTGGTGGAACCTGTCCTCCAGGGACAAGCTCCTTGGTGGGACACAGGAACAAAAGCGCGTCAACTCCGGGTTTATATGCCTTGCCCGCGGTCGCATGCGGCCTGTCCCGTTTGGGATTCCGAAGCAGGAGGAGCCCGTGACGAATTCCACTCTGGAATACGAAGGAAGCCTGGAAGAGCAGCAATCCATCCTTGGAAAAAGACTGGTTTCGTGTGTGTGTCTGTGAAAAGTGTTTTGTGTTGGTGCTTCTGTGTGTAGATCATCCGGAGCTGCTGACTTTGCCTGGAATTCACCCTGACGGTATGATGTCTCAATTATCATTTTTAGAATAAGACTCGGCTCAATAATATCAAGGTATTCATTGACGAGGCAGCGATTTATAATGCGGGACTTGTTTTTTTCGCAATCCGTGGTTTGTTTTTTTCTTCGATCATTTGAAGATTGACAAGTATTTCCTGGATGGCGTAAAGTACTGTACCACGTAAGCTATGTAGGGAGTTGATTAGCTGATGCTGAACAGAGAGGCAGTAACTGCGTATTACAGTACTTTAAGTACCAGGCGCACCTTTGTTACTGCTGCAAAATAGAAGCAAAAAAGACAGGTGCATCTGGTACGGATGGAAACATTTTCTGGAGCAAAGAATGAGGAAATCAATGTTGGGAGCCGTAAGTGATTATACTTTGCAGGGGCAAATGAGGAACGGGGAATTTTGTTCGGCTCAAATTCAGTTAAAAGGATTAATCTTACCGTATTCATACAGTACAATATTTATTTATGGGATTGCAGTATTTTGTTCAACATTATAATTGAAAGGGAAATTTTGATTTTCAACCATGTGCACGTCTTTTGCCGGGGTACGCTTTTTGGGCAAATTTGATGCCAAAAAAAAACTGAGGTGCACGTGATACTGGAGTGAGTACCGTATACTGTACTGTATATGAACTATCTAACGTGGAAGAGTGACAGTGCTGTACCTTCCGAGGAGGCAGGGAAAAAAAGCCTGGTTAGGGAAATCCCCGTAAAATAAATTCAACTTGGGGAAATGATTAGAGGATAGTTGGATTGAGGAAATGGAGCCATGAGGAAATGTGGTCTGAGAGCTTTCTTATCGCAAAACTTCGCTATTTTTGTGTGGACCATAATCCCAGCGTGGGTTAATCGATGTGCCGTATCTGCTTCACCAGGACGTGGGGACAAAGTTCTTCCTTTCACTTTAGCAATCTAACCTGGGTCTTTTTCCTCGTTTTCCTGCGGATCGATAGGTGTGTGTGTGTGTGTGTAGAACAAATGCCTACTTCCTTTATCGCCAATACTGCGTGAAACGTTGCCTGATATTATGCTCACAAAAAAAAGGGAATATTTCTCTGTCGAAAATAGCCTGGCTTGCAAATGTTATGACAACCGCAGGTTGAGGGAGGAATTGAAGAAAATAGAAAATACAGGTGGAATCTATGTACAAAAGATAATGCGCAAGAATTTTCTCTTCATATCATTTTTTTTTTTGGTCCCATATAGGCCTCATTTTGTCCATGTTAAAGGGTTCCTCTCATAGGAAATCTCTTCACAACCATTTTTTTCCTGATCCCATACTTTCATAGTGAAAATAATCCACCTGAATACCAAAATGAGACCGGATTTGAACCTCATCCATAACTAGAATCTCCCTGAGCAAAAACCTCTCAAACATGAATTTGTATGTATTTCCAAACATCATCAGCAAAAGTTTCCCTAACCTCTGTAACTAGAAGTCTCTTCAAGTCTAATCTTTCATCTCTTGAAATCTGACTTACAAGAGAGCTCTGACTGTATGCTACAGCATGCAAAAGAGCAAGTACAGTCAACCTCAAATTTAGTGTCATCATTTATCCTGGCATATGTTGTGGAACAAAGCAAAAGTGTGGCACTAAATCAGGTGTATTTTATCATAGGTTCATTTTGAGGGCTTTTTCTATAGGTGAAATAAGCTTTTTTTATCATTCAGTTTTTTTTTCAATAGATAAAACGACAGGAAGTAATTTTAAGCTCAAATAGATTGCTTCTATAAGCTATACTGCGACTCTGTGACACCCTAAAGTATGGACAATTTAAATTGGGGATATTTGAAGCATGAAAAAATCAGACCCAACATCTGGACAATATCTTGGCATACAGACACTTTTCCTACATTTCTGTGAAGACTTCAAAATTGTGATATAATTTGATCAAAGTGAGCAATTTATGTTCATATAAGTTGGGTATTATGAATTTACTCAAATTTATGATCAAAAACAAGCTAATTTTTGCTCCTTTTTGTTGATCACCTGTGAAGTGTGTAGCAAGACTTGTACTCTTTCTTTGCCATTTGGGGTCCTTTTTGATGCCAGAATTAAGATCAGATTCTGTGTGATTTTCTTCCATTCAATTGAATTCTGTATCTTTCAATTGAGAAAACATTTTATTTGATATTTGGGAATTTATTTCTAATTTTTTATGAACTGAACAATTAAATTAGTTCTTATTGCAGATATATGGGAAAAAGTGATTCAATATGCAGAGGGACAAGGTTCAATCACCAATTATTGTATGTCTGCATCTCAGGGTCTCAATTTATTTCAATGTATTTGATACTACATAAAATATAAGAATTTTTGAAAAGCATGTGTCAAGTAAAAGAGCAGGCTCTTCCTAGAAGATCAGGTAAAGTTTTTTTCTTCTTCAATTATTGTAAGAGGCTAAATGTACCCCAATGCTGGAGATATCGTACTCTTAACATTGGAGGATATCCAAATTACCAAAGGATATCACCCCATAACTGAACATGCAATTATGTTAATTCAGAAATATAATTTTCTAAATTATCCTGGGCTTGTGCTTCTCAGTTATAACCTAATTATATTCTTTAAAAAGGGCCTTCATTTATCGGATTTGAGCCTGTTCTCCCTCCAGGACGATACTCTTTTTGTCAATGAGTGAGTTGGAACTAAATCGGGGTTGATTTTAGGTGTACACAGATGAGCAACTATACCGGAAATGCCAAGAATAAGGAAGCGGAAGCAAATAAATTGTTCCTGAGAATTTTGAACATTCAAACTCAATATTTTAGGAATTATCTCTTCGTTGCATTGTATTTTTCTTTAAATTGCAGTCGTTCGCTCCTCATTAAAGTGCTCCCATAATTCAGTACTGTAAGTACTTGGATAGTATCAAACTGTGTTTATGTGTCACACAGGTTGAAATACAGTATCAATGCTTGCGCAGGGTCTCGGCAATTATACAGTGTCTATTCGTGGATAACCATTGTCCAGATTTTTGCCATTGCTACACGGACTTCCTGGTGTACGAGGGTAGGTTCATAAGTTCTGAGAATTTTTAAAACGGATCCAACGGAGTTCCAATAATTAATTCAATTATTATTTTTTTTACTCGCATAGAGCCCCATCATTTGGCAACAGTCCTGTGCTGTTCAGCATACTCCACCGATTTCAATTCATTTTTTTTTTCATGCAAGAACTTGAATAAGCAAAACAGTGCCGAAAATCTAGTTTCGTTAATTGATTAACCTGCGTTTTTGGAAATGAAGCTGTGTCTGTCCTTAAAAATCATTCCTTTTTCAGGTAATTCTTGATTGTTGGGAACATCCAGGATAAGTCACATCAGGATGCCTAATCAACAAACAAAACTCAATATTTTGCACTGTTTTGATTGTTGGATTTATGGCATGAAAAATGCATTGAAATTGGCCAAGAATATGTTGATGAACAGCATTGAAGTGTTGCCAAATGTTGCGGCTATGCGAGCCACAAAAAAAAAATATAGAATTGTTGAAACTGCGTCGGACCTATTTCAAAAAGTCTCAAAACGTATATGAATCAAACCTCGTATTTTCCAAGGCCGTCTCACTCTGTTACATCCCTGTTCAAAACCGGTCATTTCCGTCTTGGAATCGTTTTTTTTTTTAAATATTATTACTGAATTCCAAATATGGTTCTTTCAACCCTGGCTGTCAGCAGGATTGATTGTGGATCGATTGATTGACGTCCACGAGGCAATTTATGAAGGAAAACCAGCTTCAATTTTAAGTAGAATCATTGGGAGCTGCTTCTGATTGTGGTAACCTGGTTCAGATTAATTGAATCCCTGTGCTATGATTGTTCTATATTTCTGCTAATAATTGTGGGAATCCTTGACCGATCATTACTTGAATAATGGAAGTTTTCCGGTGGAAAATACTTTTATGACATTTTATTCTCAGGTGCCAGTTATTCATTAAAAAACGTGAGATCGCTGCCTTAAATTGATGCTAAGTTCATCAGACCAAACCAGTTTTTTACGGCGTCAACAGAAGTTCTATACTGTATAATAATGAATATTATATTTTCGAATAACACGCCTCATTCTGTGAATAAATTTGCGTACATCGGCTGTAACCAAATTTTTTTTTCTCGAAGAGGTACAAAAGCTGTACTATTTGCTCTGAAGTACTGCGACATTCTGCATTGAATCCATAATTACGGTTTACTTTTGTTGCAACAAAGTTTCAATAACTTCAGAAAATGTTAGTTCTGCTGATCAATATTTGTCGTATGGATTCTCTCTGCAACAGTGCTGCCCAACATATGGCCCATGGGCCAGATCAAGTCCACAGAAACTCTTCATCCATCCCACAGTCCCCTCCATGTAATGTTTAAGTTGGTGATAGTGGACATTATTCAAAATATATATTGAAAGATGAATTCAAACATTCTAAATTCGCCCCCCCCCCCCATTTAAAAAGTCTATAAGGCTACGCTATGTTTTTTTTTTTTTTACTTAAGTAAGATTTGCTTTTTTTCACCCCACCCAAAAAAATTTCCCATTCTTGTACGATGATATGCTGAATTACTTGGATGCATGTTTTTCCCTAATAACATGTTACATTCATGCGGCAAGAACCAATCAGTCACACTTGGAAAAGGGTAATTTCATAAGGAGTGTGCCTTATTCAGGACATTTTTACATCCAGATTACATTAAAAGTTCCTCAGAAAATTCGTTATACATGGTACTAAAATTTGAAAGTTTGTAATAACAAGACTCTTTAATTGTACTCTATAGTATTTCTGTTGGGAAGGGAGTAAAAGTGTATTGCTTTTCTGAGAAAATTTTTGTAAGAAAATTTGACTGCAGTAGTGCATCGTATATGCTGTTTTGGTACAGTAAAATCTTGGGACCTGAGACAAAATTTGTTAAAACAAAAAATTTGTTATACTGTATTGATATTAGTGATTTTTAGCACATTTCAGACTGAAATTGTATTAGAAATGGGGAATACAGACTTTAAAATGCTTGTAAAACAAATAATTCAAGGCCTAGCATAATTATTGAGTACTTCTGATGAAATGGAGAGAAATCCTTTCATGTAAATAGAACTCTCCTTTAAATGAAAATACATTTGTACTAAAGTATAGCTTGTCTTGAAAAATAAAATGAAATAAAATGTAATATGGTAAAAATACTGCACTTCCTTCTCAATTGACTTATTCACCCATATCTCTTTCAAACGTGGAGGAACATTCTTCTAAGATACTGATCATTTGAAAAAGGCATACATTCTAAAATGGATGAGCTAAAGAATTTCCAAAAATATGTCCTGATGTGCATTTTTGGACACCAAGTTTTCTGTACATAGATTTTTTAATTTTTAATGCTACATCTTCTAATTTTCTACATTTTCTGCCACTTATTCAGTAATCCCTATATGGGCTATGCACAGCATCATGCCCAAAAATGAATTATATTCAGATTATAGCCTAAAATTACTTTGTTGAAACAAGAATGTTATAACATTACGCTTATGGGAAACTGCCAGGACAAAAAAATCGTTATAATGAAAAACTTGTTACTGTATATCAAGATTTGTTGGAATGGAATTCTACTGTATAAATAAATGAGTACCATGTCATGCATGCACTTTTTGCTTTGAGTTTAACAATACGTAGGCTGACATGCTTGTGTGCAGATCATTGGAATTATTGAGAGTACCACTTTTGGTATATGTGGATGCTGTTTCTGTACTGTTATTGGTATTTCTTCTGTTTTTTTCTTCTTTCTCATGGTCGGGATGATTGCTGATGAGCAGGATCATGCCGAAACCGATAGAATTGGTACCTGGCCACTGGGTTGGGGACGGACATCCTGTTTTCTTCATTGCTGAAATCGGGCAAAATCATCAAGGAGACGTGGAGATTTGCAAAAAACTCATCGATGTTGCCAAGGTTGGTACACGATCTCTCTCTTCCGGATACACGTGTTAATTAACAGAGCGGCTTTCATTAGCTATAATGTACTGTACAGTGAGTCCCCACACAATGAATAACCCAACGAAAAATCCGCGTGACGAAAAATTTTACGCCGAAAAACATGACACACTGCGAAATCAGTTCACGCAACAAAATTAGTTGGCCCCTAAAACTGAAAATTGCATTCTTTTTCAAAAATAGTGTAAAAAATATAAAATCGATGTCTTGTGCTTTCCTTTCTTTACAGTGTTAGAATATCCGGAAGTTGTAAGCAAAATTTATCAGAATTATCTTTAATTTCTTTTTAATCTCATAATTTTCTGCTGAAAATTTTTTATATTTTAGAGCTATTTTTTGTGAGTGCCTGCTGTAACCTATTCAATCACATTCAATGTACAGCACAACCTTGTTGAATGAACTTGTTTGGTTCCAGAAAAGCATTTCTTAACAACCAAGTTTCTTAACTGAATTGGATTTTCCCACACACTTCAACGGAGAAGAATTTAATGTCTTCGGTGAACCGAAAAGACAATTGAACATTTTCAATATACTGTATATATAAGATTGCATTTCTTATATATATATATATATAAGAAATGCAAGACCATCAACTATAATCAAAATAAGTTGTTGCTGCATTTTATATGCGCCCAAAATGTTTTTATACAAAAGTTCATAGTATATGGGAGTAGCATTGATGAAAACAAAGAAAAACACATATCCAAAAACATTGCATCCAGAAAAACACACACTATATGACGCATGTCAAGTGAAAATTGAATTGTTCAATGCTGCAAGTAAAGATCAAGAAGATGATCTTTGTTACAACTGAACAACTTGGAAAACCAAGCACAGAAAAGCATATTCGAATAGTGTAGCTGGAGAAAATTTCAAAACACAAGATTACACAAACTAGGGTGTCAGAAGGGAAGAATTTTCATACCAGTGCATAGGTGAATTGTTTGCACTTAGCTTTTACCATGAACTTCAGCCCTAAAATCAAATCTTGAATTTTTCAAATTTGGGATTTTTCCCCCCAAGACGAATGTTTGTAAACCAAGCAGTTTGTTAACCAAGGATCCACTCTACATTAATCTTAATGAAAAACAGGTATCTCTTCACAGAACTCATCCAGGGAAGGATTAGTTTTGTTGTGCGAAACCAACAGTATTTTAAAATGCGGTTAGTTGAATACTGTACTGCAGTAAAGAATTTATTTTTGGTAGGATGCTGGGGCCAGCTGTGCGAAGCTGCAAAAGAAGGACTGCAAGGGTTGCTTCACCAAGAAGATGCTGGCCAAGCCGTATGTCACCCCAAATTCCTGGGGTCCTACTTACGAGGCGCACAAGAAGTACCTGGAGTTCGATGAGGACCAGATGCGGGAACTGATGACGTATGCCGACAGCGTGGGCATCTCGCTCATGTCCACCCCCATGGACATTGTGAGCACACAGTATTCCTCTTCTCATTTTCGTTTTCTTTCTTTTTTTTTGTCATGCAACCTTTCAAGGGAGCAATGTACAAGGTGGGCCAAAAAGAGTGAAGCAATTTTTGAGTGACAATAGCTCAGTACAGCAAATTGACTCATATGAAGAAAAAACACCAAATGAGTGCTTGATTGATTTCCTTTCAAATTACTGTACAGTCAAAAATCTCTAGGTCAAATTTAAAGGGACAAGCAAAAGATCAACTTAAGAGGTTTTGAATTATAGAGGTTACAGCTACAATACAAAGTCCTTTTGTTCTGGGAAACAGAAAAATTGCCCACAATTGCAAATAGTGATATTCTGGGGCTCAAAATGCGGTACTTTCCTGTTATCTCAGTACCTACTTTTCTTTGTCTTGTGAATTCAGTATTTGTTAGGTTAGGTCAGGTTATGTTAATTGAAAGATATTTGTAACTAACATAACTTGACTTCACCTAATTGCCTCCCAAAATCAGTTTCTGCTTTCTTTGGGTTTCTGCTGAAACTGATTTTCGGAGGCAGTTAGGTAAGGTTAGGTTAGGTCAGGTTATATATTTGTAACTAACATAACCTGACCTAACCTAACTTCACCTAACTGCCTCCCAAAATCAGTTCCAGCAGAATGCGGAAAAATTAAATTCACAGTTTCTGGTAGGTGCACGGAAAGTAGGTACTGAGATAACAGGAAAGTACCCAAATGCTTCTTAAATGAGTTGAAAGTATGCTGAGCTTGCAAGCAGTGTTTCATTTGCCCAACTAAGTCTTTCATTTTCTTTTACAACACAACAGGTTCTGTTTTTATTGCTTTTTTCTTTCTTGTGTCAAGAAAAGAACAGCCAACAGGCCACAGAAAATTCAACTATTGGAGATTTAACAGGAAAAGCCTTCAACTCAGGAAGGTTTTTAATGTATTGTTTCTAAGGGAATACAGATTGGGACCTTTAAAAAATTTAATCTGGGGGGTATTTGACTTTAGGGAGGTTTGAATTATTGAGGTTAAATTGTAGTTTATATTGATTTCATGGTCACAAGTGTAACAGCATGATCACAAAAGCCATTTGAATGAAAGTTTGTACAAATTTTATGAAACTTTGCCAGTCTACAGACAATTTTCTGTAAATTTGCCAGTCTGTGGGCACAAAAAGGTTGGGGAACACTGGCTCTGTTGATGAAGATCTCTGACATATTTTTTAAAGTTTTCATTCAAATGGCTATGATCATGTTGTGACTTTTGGGACCATCATTTGAAAGGACATTGAACATGCATTTATTTGGTTCTTTGCTGTAGGTCTAATTTGCTACTTAGATATTGTCATTCAAAAATTTTTTCAATTCTTTTGGTCCACCCTGTACACTCCAGTATCACACGCCATGTCCAGTTAGACAGGCAGCTTAATTTTTGCATAGATTTGGCCAAAGAACCTATTCCCATGTATATGCCGCACACGCAAGTTTTTGCTGATTGAGAATTTCCTTTTTTTCTTCAAATAATGGGGTTCAACTAAAATAACAAAATAATTATGTGAACTATCACATCATGAATACCAAATATAATTTCCTGTTCATAAATGTATCCTTCAAAGACTTCATTTTGGCTGACATAACTGATTTTCATTTTTCAAAAATGTATACCAGCATCCGACGCGCACCCCACTTTCCTGCTTCAGTTTTGCAAAAAAAAAGGTACGCTTGGTACTTGGGGTACTTGGTACTTGAAATATGGTTGGTTTTAACAAGAATCGCTTTTTTGGGTTCCCGAGAAAATTCTGTTTTTCGAGGAATAAATTTTGTATTTTTCTCAAGTACCAAGCACATCGTTTTTTTTTTTCAAAGTGAATAGCAAAAAAAAAATGTGCGTGTGATTGACACATGCAAAATTTTCAACAAATTGAGAAACTTGGATGCGTATCGTAGGTTATTCACTTCAGGGAAATCTTGGGCAACCTTTTCGGAGCCAAATTCATACAAAAGAGGTAAACCAGCTGAAATATGGCGGATCATGATTGCATAAAACAAGAGTAATTAGACAGTACAGTAATCGAATTCCGCAGGTTGAATTTAAGTCGTAACTCAATTTGCAGCAGTGTAGTTTTTGCACCCAAATCAAGTGAACATTTTTCGTAGATTCAGAAGCGGGGTGCGCGTCTTTTTTTTTCGGGATGCTTTTTCTCCACATTTTAGGCCTGAAGTTTTGGAGACGCGTTGTGATTTAGTAAATACGTATTTGTTTATTCTTTTGGCACATTGAACTATTTTGCATCTTGATACAGATGAAAATTTGCTTTGCTAATATTATATTCAAGTTGAAGATGGGTTTCTTTCTTGGGATTAGTCGCTATTTACGGACAACCAAAAATATTTTCAGCATTTGTAGACAATTGGATGAAGCTTTTTTTCGAATTTGGGAGAGAAATTCATTCGGATTTTTTGTTCCCAAACTCCCGATTTTCTTTTCATTTCGAAAACTACTCTTTGTAATTCGTGAATTTCTCTATGTTTTTAATGTGACAGCCGTCTGCTGACATTCTACACCGCCTGAATGTGCCTTTCTTCAAAGTCGGTTCTTTGGACACCAACAACTTCTTCCTGCTGGAGCACTTGAAGAAACTCGGGCGTCCAATGGTCGTTTCCACAGGTGAATTTCTGTCTGAAATTGAATTTGGACTTCCTGTACATACAGTGAACGGAATCGTTCTTTTTTTCATCATTTGTCATGCACAAAAGTAATGTATCAGATCCTGAAGATAAATACTTGTACAGATGCAAAAACTCTTTGACTAATTCGAAGTTGAACTGAAAATAACAACAAAACTCTCTTCCAGTGTGGACTGATGAGGCTGAACGTTTGTTTGTCACCTACAACAACTTACTTATCTGGACTACAGTTGAACCTGGATAAACTGTACCACCCGCATTGAATTTTTTACAAGTCCACATCTGAATTGCAGTAGAAGCAATGCATTAAGAACCTCTCTAATGTGAAGCCTTATTTTTTAAACCTCTGTGTAATTCAAATTTTCTGAGGCCTTTTGGTAATTATTTTTTGACACAGGAAAGATAAAATCAATAAAAAAGTAACTTGATGTGTTTTTAGAGGAAGTGAAAGACTAACTGGGCAAAGCTTCCAAGTTCATCATCCTATCAGCTCATTCAAGGAAGCAATTTAAGACCTAGAATATCACCATTCACAATCTCCTGCAAGTCTTCCATGTTTCCCACAACAAAAATGCTTGCTTCCCTGAACTCAAAACATCCCCAAGTCAAATTGTTTTGCTGCTCCTTTGAAATTCAAGTTAGAGAGGTTTGACTGTGTTGTAATGATTTTTATTTTTCAAGAAATGTGTACCATTTAAGTATTCCAATTACACCCCACTTTTAGCCTTAATATGCTTTTCTTTTTTTTAAATGTGAATGTTTATTTGCATGAATACATGAAGTATTCAAGTCATTTTTGTCAGAGCAAAGATGTTTTCCAGACCCAAAGCCTCTGTCCAGCATATTACGATTTTACTTTGAATGAAAATATTATTATTTTGAAAAAATATTACCCGATCATTTCCTGATAGAATTTTTTTTCATGAAATAATTTCAGACCAAAATGCAGGATAAAATTAGCTCAGTTCTGCCAAAGTGGTCTTCTAAAATTTTAATTGATTGCCAGCAGTAAAGAATTTATTTAATGCGAGTAAGCAGAAATTTGAAAAAGTAAAGTTGTTCATATTACCCAAAAATCTATTTTTTTTTTTTTTACCTAGCGTTGTTTTCGAAAATGACAGAATATATGCGAAGTACGGTATTACTTACTGCTCAATTGAATATCACGATACTGCATGAGGATATCGTAATGTTTTCCTTACACTTTACAGACGATATTGAGACTTTTCTGCGCAAATTAACCATGAAAACACTTTCCTCATGTGTTTGTCACCTCTCATGATGATTATATACAGGAATGAGTTCGATGGACACAGTGCGCAGGGTGTACGAGCTGCTGCACGGCGCTGTTCCCCTCTGTCTCGTGCAGTGTACTTCCGCGTACCCGTTCAGTGACGATCAGGCGAACCTGTTGGTCATGGACAAGTACCGACGCGAGTTTCCAGAGGCGCACATTGGCTATTCGGGTCACGAGATGGGCTGGATCCCGACGCTGACAGCTGTTGCCCGCGGCGCAAGGGTAACTCTTCAACACTCCAATCATCCCCTCAGTCTTCTTGTGCAATTGTACAGTACAGTACTGTATTAGCAAATATTCGAGAGTTGATTCATCTACGTTTTGAGACTTTTTGAAATACTGTAGGTCCAAAGCTGGTTCAACAATTCCAAATATTTTTTTTGGCTCGCATATCCCCATAATCTGGCAACACTTCAGTGCTGTTCATCAACATATTCTTGGCCAATTTCAATGCATTTTTCATGCCATAAATCCAACAATCAAAACAGGGCAAAATATTGAGTTTTGTCAGTTGATTAGGCATCCTCTGACTTACTCTGTCTGTTCCCAAAAATGAAGAATCACCTGAAAGGGATTGATTTTGAGGACAGGGTTACTTCCTAAATTCCACCGTCAAAACGTAGCTTAAGAAATTAAAGGAACACGACTTTTGGCACTGTTTGGATTGTTTGATTTATTGCATGAAAAAATGAATTGAAATCGATGGAATATGTTGAACTGCACTGGACTGCCGTCAAATAATAGGGCTGTATGCGAGTAAACAAATTTTGGAATTAATGGTTGGAACTCCGCGTTGGATCCATTTTAAAAAGTCTCAGAACTTATGAACCAACCCTCATACAGCAGTAAAAGCTGGGATTGATACACCTGGTTATTATAGCAAGCGGAATATCTATGTAAGCACTATTTTTTGAAAAGCACAACAGCGAAATGGTTGGGGATAATCATTCTAAGCGTTAATGTTTTGCTGAAAGTTTCACAAGAAAATTGGTTTTGATCAGATGACTTATTTACGCTGCAGAAACGTGGTAGTTGAGGTCACGAGGTCAGTAGAAGGGAAGACACGGTTTCAAAAGCTTATTCGAATGATATATTTCTTCAAATTTGCCAAAAAAAGTATCATTAGTATACAATATTTTCGTTTTTAAGCATTTAATTTCCCGAAGCAGCTGCTGCTGTACCTTCCCATACGAAGCCAGTGTGGGATTCTCATTTTCAATGCCCTCTGAATTCATTCAACCGGATGCAACTAAAAATCGTCAAAATTGTTCTCAGCGCCGCATTTGCATATCTTCTCTTCTTTTTTTCACATGTCTTTTACACGCTGGAATAAAAATAAGGCGTTAACTGTCGAATGTGACTGTTGTGGGAATACTTGGGTGTGGCTTCCTGTGCGCTGCATCGTTTCAACGGTCAAATCTTCAGCTTAATCAACTTTTGCTGACTTCCGGCTCTATACGAAGCTGCCTGTACAGGAGAAACAAATTTGTCTTTGGATTATTTAATCAGCACAGTGGGGCCCCGAGATGCGGACGTAATTGGTGATTTGACCTTGTCCCTATGTCAGAGCATTCATGCGTGGAATAACTTTTCACCTAGACTTCAACTGAAACTTATTTAATATTGCTTCGCCTGTTCATCACAATTACCAATAATGTCCCTAAAAATAGAATATCATCATTGTTCTCAACTTCAAGATACAGAAAATAAATGTGCAGAAGAAAACCATACGAAATTTGATCTTTTGGCATAAAATGGAGTAAAAGAAGTCAGCAAAAAGAGAAAGTCTAACTACAGTACATACCATTTGCATAGATGATGTAAAAAACTCTATGTATTGACATGCACAAAATTGGCCTGTTTTCATTATGAATTCGAGCAATTTTCTAAAGAAATTGATTTTTAGTTTTTGTGGATATAAACACTGTAGCTAAATTCGTTCAACAGGTATCAAAAGTTATAAAAATACAGTATTTATTTTAGAAATGGTGGAGAAATGTGCGTATCTCGAGACATTGCCCGGAGGTTGGGGCAGATAATTCAGTTTCAAGTACAGTACAGGTATCCCAAAATCTAATCGTCCGTATGTCGGGGTCCTATATACTATAATGTACAGTATTGTACTTCTTCACATGTTTGAATTAATTAACCAACCCGCAGAACGATAACTATTTCTCACCTGAATTACGACGCCGGTTCGCTTGGTTAGTTCATCGATTACGCCGAGTCGTCGTCGTCGAATGTGTTTGGCAAAACGACCATGTTTTCAACAAATTACCCTCTCATTTTTTTTCTTCAGATCGTCGAACGGCATATAACATTGGACAAGAACATGCGCGGAAGCGATCACAAAGCCTCGCTGGAACCACAAGAGCTGAAAGAACTCATCGCCATGATCCGCCGTGTTGAAGCCAGTCTGGGAAGCGAAGATAAGGCAAGTGCATTCTTGTACAGGTTGGAGAAAGCTAACGAGAGGGATTAGCGGCACGCTGGGAAAGTAGCAACTCCAGAAAATTAGTTCATTTTGTTCTTGGCGGAAGTCGTCACTCGTCAGACATGTCTGTTGCACGTTCATCAGTCGACGATATCCGGAGTAGCCAGTTCTAGTTTGCAACTGTGCGCTTCATTATTTCACAATGGCCTCAGCAGCCACAATAAACTCCCCTACAAAACCTTGCTGTCTTTAGGTAACATTTGAACGTCATTAATAGCGCCGGAAAATTAAACGGAATCGGCGAAAACCAAACGTTCGAGAGTTGAAATTTTTTTTGAAACGAATCCCCGCAAAGCAGCGAATAGCCAAAGAAAACTTGTACCCATCTCTTGGCAGCACGAAACAAAATTCGTTGAGGAAGTCCAACACTGCTCAAAGATTTTTGTAGAATAGCAAAAAAATGCAGGAATTCACGAGAGAAAATGTCGTCCAATGAAGACCTTACCTCCATCTTCAATTGAGATCTCTCAATTACTTTGAATGTTATGTACAGTAGTTTAGTAATGTACTTTGACTGCAAATACAGTACTGTATTGTATTTACTTGAGTACCACACGCACGTTTTTCTGAAATTCAAGAGAAAAAGAAGGGGAAGCACATAATAGGCATATTTACTTTAATACATTTGGGTATACTTTTTAATTTTTGTAGTCTCTGTACAAACAAATTTGTTTCTGGTCCTTGGAATTTTGTTGTAGAGAGACCTGTATTTCAATAAGAACATCCAAATTTGAATTCAGGCGTGAATTGAACCTGAATTAAATAAATTTTCAATTATTTCCATTGAAATAAGTTTTTTCTGTGAAACCTGGTCTAAAATTTTTCATTAGAATCAAGTATGGTTTAATGTACCACCTAACCTATTTAAGATGGGAAGAGAACCCTATATGGAACCAGGAACAAGTTGTTATACAGAGAAAATCTTTGAAGACAAGATCATTGTAGAGAGTATGCCTGCATTGCAATTTTAGAGCCCTTGAAAATGGGGTGCAAGTCTTACTTGGGGATACAATTTCATCAAATTTTTAAAATGAAAAACCCTGGTGCGCATCTTGCTTGAGTGTCTATGGTACTTTGGTAAATACATTACTTTGAATTGATTAAAGCTGTAAATATGACCAATAAACCTCCTTCCTGGGCTGTAATTGGGTGAACTTCCCACTATGCATAATCTTCAAGTCTATGAAAGAGGGTGAGTGAACATTGAAAAAGATTTCCCACCTTTTTTTACTTTTAAGTTATACCGTATGATAACGTTTTCCAGAAATGCATATGATTGCAATACCAGACCCTGATGAACAAATTACCAACGTTGCATTCAGTGGATCACAATATAGCAGTAGGACTTTGATTTATTCGTACTCGAATGCTGACCAACGAATTTGCGTTTTGTTTTGTGCAGCATCGCTTGGCCTGCGAAGAGGGCTGCCACCAGAAGCTGGGCAAGTCAGTGGTTACTACTCGAGCAGTGTTGGCAGGCCAGCCCTTGACCAGAGATGACCTGGACATCAAGACTTCCGAACCCCTAGGCTGGGAACCCGAGCGCTGGGAGGAACTACTGGGCAAGACCCTCAAAAGAGATTACGACGACGATGAGCAGATCATGCACGAAGACGTGGAGTGACGATGCCTCCAAAACTTCTGATATTCCAATATACCGTTCTTTGCCCGGTGCCACGACGTTTAAATCTGAAACTATGACGGAAAAATTCAGCAAAATTTTCTGATTCAACACGTTTTCTACCAGCTGAGGAATTCCTCGTGTTTTGCGAGTTGTTGGAAATTCTTGATTCCAAGATTGCGTCGCAGGAAGAACGAGATGCCATCCACTGTTTAAAAAAATTTTTTTGGAGCTTGAAACAAAAAACAACATATTATACTTCTCTCCTCCCTATACTGCACATCTCAGTAACGTAACATTCTTCACCATTTCACGGATTTCACTGGAACTATGTCGATTTTTGTGGGATCAATAATTGGTTAGTTTCAGGTCCAATAGTCAGGCAACGTCTCCGTGAAATTTCAGAAAACAAGATCTGGCATTGAAGTTGGAATTTCGCGAGGAACTAAGACAAGGTCTTTGTTTCTGTATCACGCAATGCAACTTTTTTTTAAAATCGTAATCCGAAGGTGGCTTATGGGCTTCTCTGGCACGTTAATCCTTCTTATTGCATCAACTGGGTCTATCACCAGTGCTGCAAAACTGAGCTTAAAAAAACATGCCCCAACAGATGCGGAAGAAAATGTTCATAATTTTGCAGTAAAATCAATGAAGTGGAAGCCTGCACATTGAAAAAGTATCCACAGCCGTCCATCTTCAAGTAACCTAAAGCGGGAATCAACAAGTGCCTAACATTAAATAAATCCTCATGCACTCTAGCTCAAGGTGCAGGACTACTTGTGCAAGCAAGCACCTTTTTCTGCTCATCATGCTTGATGACTGATCCTTTTCGAAATCTGTTTTTGTGCTTATTCCAATGATTTATCTGAACACCAACAGAGTGCCTATTTCATGAATAGAGAATTATCAAATGCAAAAAGTTTGACAATATCTTCGGGATTTTCATTTCTGATGGAACGATTTTGAATTGGCAAAAACATACGCTCTATTTATCCAGATGGACTCTCTACAACGATCTTGTCTACAACAATTTTCCCTGTGTACCGTTTTTTTTTCGAAACATTTTTCTCCAAATAATAAAGGGGTTCTCTACAACGAATTTGTTCTGATCCCTTGAATTTAGTTGCAGAGTTCACCAGCATTCCTACTTCAGTGTTGCTGAAGATTGCAATTCAAGGCAAGTAAAAGTTGTTTCCCACATGACGTAATTCATTCCTTGTATCAAGAAACACCAGAATATCTTCATTAAAACTCTCACAATTCAGACGCGTACAAATAATCACCAGCTTTGGTTTCTCGCAATCACAGATTCTCACACATTCAGAAATTGAAGGACTGCAAAATTGGAGCAATGGAGCACAGTTGTGCCTGGTCCTTCTTCCACAATTCCCGGAAATGAAGCAAGGGGCAATCCAATGATGCGCATCGAATGTCATCAGTGATGAGTCCACAGCAAGTTTTGCAAATCTGCAGGTGTAAAAAGAGAGGAAAGGATTATCTAACGCTTCAAATCAATTACAGCATCACTAAAATCTGAATCAAGACATTCCATGAAAAATTTCCGTGTTGCGAACTGAACAAGCTCCAAAGAGGTACTCTTTATATTCACAAATGATTTTGTACCTCTTCCGCTTCGGAAGTTGATGCCAATTAACCATCATTCATTGAATCCCATTTATTTTCTTGACTCATTCACCACCAAAGCCATCAACAGCATTTGAAAAAAAAACAAGCAAACTGTAAACAAATGAAATAAAATTGAGTACCTGGTTCAAATCGTGGAATCTCTTCTGCGCGTATTTGGACTTGTTGAGCAACTTCATTGTTGAGGCTTGCGGATCAGCGCAACATTGACTGCAGAGACTGATTTCTCCTCCAAGAGCAGCATTCGGCTTGTCACACACTGGACACGCAGTCGTCACAAAAAATTGAGTGATGGTACTAGCACCAGGACCAGAAACGCCCTCTGGGACACCGTGGCACCACGGTCGGTACAATTTCGGCAAACTAGTGTACCTACAATTTTGAATGTATTAGGTCCAATCTGTCGAACGCCGTACGATGAACGAGATGCATGCAAAAACTTTTCAACACAGACATGAAAACAATTTTCTTTCACTGTATACTGCACCACAGAAAATGAAGTCATTTTTCGCACTCGTGATACTTTTTCAAAAAAACTTTTTGATGGCAGACCCTCTTCAGAAAAGTGACTTCCATCCTTGTCCTTATATAAACTTAAATTGGAAGACTTGATGATGTAACCATTTCGTCAATTTTAAATACATGAACGAATGAAGGAATTTCAAAATCGACTTCTACAGTGTTCCAATGTATTACCTGCCACCAACTAAGATAAATTAAAATGGACGTTGTAATTAACAAAAAAAGGTCAAATGACTAAGTTAACTTGATATCAATTCATGCTTTCACTAAGTTAGCCAAATCATTCTTGGCCAAAAAGAATCAATAAAATCGATCGTAAATAAACCAACATAATCTATGGTGGGGTCCTGACATTCGGAAAATTCGGCTAAGCAAAATTTGAAACTAAAAAAATCGTGCAGTCATGCTTAAAATACTGCATGGGCCAAAATCGAAGAAACCAAGACATTTTTCTAAAGATATCATTGAGTTATAACTGAAAATAACATTTCCATGCTCACATAAAACTCAGGACTATTTTGAACATGTTACTTTCGAATTTACATTACATCACTGAAAATACTTTCGTTGCATGACACCTTAAGCTTCCATGGAAATATTGCTGATGACCCCTTCATGTTGGCACTTGATATAAAACTCAAATTCACACACAATCTTGAAAAACAGCTTTACTCTTTCACTAGACATCGTATGCTTAAAAATCTAGTTCATTCTGCATTGTTAATACTTTGAAATACAATATAAATATTATAAAATCATTATATTTGAACTTCAAATTATTCCTCAAGGCCTTCTCTCTCATAGAACAGACTGACTGGCCTAGGAATTCTGTAAACAAGCTTATTGTTCCTACAATGGAAACCCTCAACTGGACCTCCCCATCATAAAATGCCCTGGATTTAGTACCCCCGCCCCCTGCTTAGTGCCACAAAATGCTGCAGGGAAAATGGTGGCAATAAATTGAAGATTGACTGCACACTTTACCTCGTACACTCTAAAGCAATACATAGTCTCTACACTGTAATGTAAGAAACCAAATATCAGTTGACCACAGCTGCGCCAAGTACGTCCTGAACTCAAGTAACATATTTTCAACTTCCCGTGAAAATTGAGCAACGCACACAAATGCAGAAATAACGCGATGACCGCTCCAACAATGTAAAAAAGGAACCTTACTAACGCAAAGAAAACTAAAAAAAAAATCGTCTTATCCCATAAAATGATGCAGCAGGTGCTGGAAGTTGACTAGTAGAGCAATCATCAGAGCTCACCAGTTCATCACGTTGACGCCACGCATCATGTTCAGGCACCTTTCCAGCGGAGGCAGGATCACCTTGGTAATGTAGTACTGTCCATTCAACCGCAGAGTCTGATCTTTAAGTACTTCCCCAGGCTCCCTCACCAGCTGGATCAGGGTAACACCCGGTGGACCGTAAACAACAACATACGGCACTCTGTCACCGACTCTCGGCACCGACCTCGGGTCAACAATGGCCCGTTTCTTGGCCAATTCCAAAGCAGGCACACACGCACCGGGTTTGTAACCAGTCATACCGCGGAATTCCTTGGCGAACGTGAAATCCCGAAAGTTGACTCGACCGAGGAGAATTTTCGACAACTGGGCTTGAATGTATCGCTTCACAACGGAAATGTCTCGAGTTTCAAACAAAAGACGCAAAGTTTTCTCCAAGATTTTGCACACAGCTGGTACTCCATCTCTTCGCACGGTTTCAATGCCCTTGGCTTCGTATTCTGGGCTTTTTTGCTCCAGCGTTTCATATTTGTAACCAACGTAACGCTTCTTGGTCTGAAACGGAAGCAAATTCATTTTCAAAATTAAGTTCAAAAAGTTGGATGCACTTGTCCAACTCGAGCATTCTTCGTTCATTCCTCGAGCTACTGTCCAGTGAAGTTCCAAGTATAAAATTTTAAAAAGAAAATGACAAAACAATCTTTCCAAAAAAATGTCGCAGAACAGAAAGTTAAATACTGTAGTTTAATATATTTTTTTCATGAACAATATATGAAACAGAAAGCTACTTAGTAAGGTGTAAGTAGTCACGCAGTAAGTAAGCATTGCGCGAAATAGGTTAAATAGATTTCTTCTCTTGAGCATTCACTCTTCTGGCACTCATCCTACAGTATCGCCTTCTTCTCAAGCTAATTGAAAGACTTTTCAAGGAAGTAAACTCTTGTAGCAAGGAATTCCCAGGGACGTGAGAAAAAATTCGTTGTAGCGTGATTAATGGTTTATCTGGCATGTAGGACTGACATCCTTGGGAAATTTGTTATATTGTATGTAGTTGCTTCGAAGTCCTTTCACAAAAGATTTATGAAGAATACCCTGCATTTCCGAGTATTCCAACTTCTTTCAGTAATTCAATAGAGAAAATTCAAAATTTGAAATAAAATTATCTTATTTTATACCTTTCTTTCTAATATTTTCTAAGAAAAATGCTAACCTTACTGAATAAGCTGAAACATGAACAGAATAAAGAACATTCATTAATTACGAAGTGCATGTTCCCTCGAATCAAGCAGTATCCATCCCATCAATCGGCATTTACTTTTCAAAAAATTTGCAATACCTAAATTTTAAAATAAAACTGAATAAATTTCAATTAGAACTTCATTTACTAAATTTTCTGCACAAAAGATCACAATTTACTCAGTACAGTATTTTTGAAGGTTTTTCAATGATGGACAAGTTGGGTTTCCCCATATTGAGCGAATTTCTTCGGCCTATGAACAGATAAGCTAGGCAAAAATTCGTTATACAGTACCAAGATATGGGGAAAAATTACTTTCTTGTAGCAAAATTTTTATCGTTACATTGTCACTATGAAGAAACTGCCAGGACAAGCAAAACGTGCAAAAACTTCGTTATTACGAGGTTCGTTGTAAGTCGTAACGGAATTTTACTGCATACGCATGACACGCGGTGAAGAAAAAATAAGTTCAATACGGTACCTGAAGAATGCAGGGATAGTACACCTTCTCAAACTTTAGTTTCACCGGCTTCGGGTTGACTTTTGTTACAGCAGCAGCAATTTCATGGCCAATTCTGAAAGCGGCTTCTTTATCGCGACCAGGCAACAGCACAAACATGGAATCAGTGTCACCATACACAACTTTCGCTCCCCAGTCGGGATTCGAATGCACCATCTGAATTGCTTTCTCCAGCGTCTCTCGTCCTTTGCTAACAATACTGTCACCAATCTTCAAAGAAAAAAATTAATTTCAATTGACTTCATTTCAGCTACTGTCGAGAGGAAGAAATTACGACCGATTCTTGAGTCATGCAAACCGGAGAAAGTTTAGTCCTGCAACTCACCTCAACACATGGCATTCGACCGGAAAAATTGGCAGATGTGTAACCGTACGTTACATTTGCGATCAACTTCAAGCCGAGCTGTCGAGCGTCCAAAACTTTCTGCAAAGCTCTGTCACCAGAATGCAGCTTCATCGACTGCTTAACCATGATTCTAGTCGTCAGGATTTCCTCCAGCATTTGCGGCAAAATTCCTCGGCGCACATCAGCTTTCACAAATGCGACTCCACAGGGAGAAATGGTTATGTTTTCGAGCCCAACTTTGGAAATCACCTCGGCCGGAACTCGTAACGTCGTGCAGCCGAACTTGAACGGGTGAATTCTAAAATACGGAGGGTGAAGAGCAGAGAACTGCGGAGTGAGTTTTGAAAAAAAATTCTGAAAAATATGTTTTTCTAGTGCCAAAAAATGCTTTCTCGAAACAATAATTGTTTTTCAACTCAGTCCTAAGCCGTTCCGATCTCTATTCCGCGTCAGACCCCTAGTACGAGGTACTTCTCGATTCAAATAAAATTTAATGAACAAGTAAGGGAATGAATCAAATTGAATTTCTCACTGTCCGATGAATTCGCTGCGTCCCAAGCAGGTTGAAAAGCAGTAGTTGTAGGCAATCACAATTGAAGGATACAAGCTCTGAAAATCCAGCACGACGACCGGATCAACATACAAAGTCGACTCCGGCTCCATAATCAACGGGATACATTCCGGAGCTCGCATATGCGCTCTTTGTTCGACCGAAGGCGACACAGGCACGTAATTCGCAGGCTTCGCCAAACGCAGCATCATAGACTCCACTCTGAATTGCGAGCCGCGAGATAAAACCTCGTAGAACTGAATACCGAACAAACGCGCCAATTCGCATGTTCGTCCAATAAGATCCATCTTCTCCAGAAGACTCCAATTCCCTTCAACGCGTTTCACGAAATACCTCAAAACTGTCTCGCGCTTCCCACCGTTCCACCACTCGTACAAGGTCCCGAAGCTAAATCTAGGCAACCGTTCGTGTAGGACGTGGAAGTACAAATTTTCAAATGTGTAGCTGGTGAGAGCGATCTCATGACGGAAAAGACGCCACACATTCAGCGTGATACGACCACAAAGATGTATCTCCGATGTGTGTGCAGACCCATACGGATCCAGGTCTTCATTGGCGTGACTTGTCTTTTCTTCTGATGGAACCCGACTCAGCTTTGGCGGCAAAACGAAACCAAGCGCATCCGCTCGCTCAATCAAGTAACCCCAGGATAACTGCTGCACCTAATGAAACAATCGTCAACAAATTAATTAATTTTTTGCCATGGACAGTCAACGCGATTTCATCTCCTCAAAAGTCCATGTACAGAATTACTCAAGAAAAACAAACGTAAATATCGTTCAACAATCATTCGCAAGCTTCCCCTAAAATATTATCAAGTTTAGAAGAAAATCCCAGCGTAATTTTCAGGTATCACCCCTTGATTAAGCAGTACCTTCATGATCAATCTTTCAAGATCAATCAAACTAATTCAACATGTGATAATAATAAGTAAAAAAAATTGCTTTGATTTTACCCAAATCTTCCGAGGATACAACAATCGCACTCATGGATCCTTCACATTGAAGTAAGAGATTGGTATCGTTATCGAAAATTTCCAAATCTGTAAATGCCTCATTCGAAGTTCACGAAAGTTTAAATTCGGATGAGAGTTATCTTTGGGGTAACACGGTACAGAAACAGGAACAGAGGGTTGAACAAAAATCTTACTTCGAATCCGAGAAGTATATCGGGGTCCCAGATTTGCACCAGATCTACAATCGCATTCAGGAGCTCCATTTCACTCCGGACGAAACCGAGCCTAATGCCACGAATGGAACACAAATTTTTCAATTCCCACTCAAACTCCTCGCCTTCGGTAACCACAAAAACGCCCAACACATTCTGCTTGCCGCTAGCAATGTCCGAAGATGGCATTACGTCATGAGATATGTAATAAAATGCCGCCCCGATTGAATCGTATGTTGGATCAGGGGTCAAATTCCCACGGGCAGAGGTTAACACTTCCAGGCTCACGATTGTTAGGTAATCTGGTTCAATCTCAGCTTTCACCTCTTCTAAGCACCCGTGATTCACCTTATAGACAAATGTCTTGTCCGGGGTTGTTCCAGATATTTGTGAAGTTCTCTTTTTTATCAATTCGCGGCGACAAACGCGCTTCTCGGTGTCCTTTGGAGGAATCGGGGTGATCGCGGGAATTCCAGAACGACTCAACGGCGTTTTGTTCTCATTACTCTGAGTTTTACCGAAGGGAGTTGAAGTAATTGGTTTTGGCGTATCTCCTGTCAAAGCTTCTCTCGCTTTCAGGAAGGAGCTCCTTTTCGGAGGCTGGCGAACTGGGGTGAGGAAGACTTTTCCCGGAACTTGGGTGGTCATCAGCCACCAATCTCCTGACAGGGCTTTCAGGCAAGTTTCATTGATCAGCTCACGCTTCACATACAACTGCATCCTCGTTTCTTGGAGAGCCTCAGAACTTCCGTTGAATGGCTCCATGTTCGATGTGGAAACGCATGTCACATGACACAAGTCTCCAACCCCAAGCTTTCCCTTTTTTCCTTCTCCAGCTTCCTGATAATCTTCATAACGGCTCCAAAAGGGTTGCTGGTTCCGGACAAAGCTCCGAAACTTCTTCCGATCAGGAGGTCTTGCGAATGGTCGCAAAATTGAGTGGTTTGTAGCAGAAACATTTGATGGCCAAATATTATTTGCACAGTAGTTTCCCGACGCAAAAGAATGTAAGTTGGGCGGTCCGGTAGGAGAGTTTCTTCGCGGCGTTTGTCCAGCGCAAACAGTTGAATTCTCATTTTCAGTGGGAATTTCAGAAGGAGAGGAAGGTACAGATTCACAAGTTACTGATTTTTCCTCCTCATCTTCAATATTTTTTTCGGTGGAGGATGAAAATGTTGCACGGGGAACAGACGTAGCCACAGGAGATTTGAAATCATAAAAACTAACAATGTGAGAATCGCGTCGTCGCAATGGCCACAATTTCGGTCTCACAAACGTCTGACTACAATTCACGATGTCGTCATCTGCTTCATCTTCAAACGATCCTATCTCGTAGCTCTCAGATTCATCTCCCAATCGACTCGCTTCTTCAGTTGATTCCTGTAAGGGTTCTGCCATTTTGATCGTTTGCGGCACGTCATGTTCAGCATCTACACTTTTCATGTCGATATTTTGCTCGTTAATTTTGGCGGACTCTCGAAGTTCATCAAAGGAGCTGCGACTCGACTGAGGACTCTCAATATCATTCACACCTTCGGGTATTTTCAATTTATCAAGAACGACATAGCAGTCGACCATAAAATTTATCCTTTTGAGGTCGCTCTTATTACGGAACTCTTCTTCTACATGTTCCTCGCAATATCGCGAAAAGTTTAGGCCATGAATTTGGCATACTTTCCGCATATCTTCCTGGTTTTCTAATTTTCTAAGTCGGACGAAGCACGGACGAATAAGTCGTGAAAGTTTAGGACGGGATTTTCGATGCAAAATGCGTTTGCGCTGCGGTCGTCGTTCATATAACTTCGACGGTTCAGGTTCATTCACTGAACCATCCATCTGCTCGATTCTGTCAGAGAATTCAGACGTCTTCTCTCCTCGAATATCACTTCCACTCGACCGGTTCAAATCTTGATTCCTGCAAATACGAAAATTGTCACACACATAAACTAAAGTGATGAATTCAATAGTAGCAAGTAGCATGAAACTCACAACGAAGAGATAAAATCAGTGTCCCAAGCTTGGCTCATTTCAAGCGCTTCTATCTCCGCTAATTCTTCTTCTTCCGGCGACTGTTTTGTGACGGCCTCGATTACAGCACCTTCATCACATTCGAGACGCTGCGATAAGCTTTCAAGTTCTTCTTCAAGAATCAATTTTTCAGCTACTTCTTTCTGCGAATCAGGATCATCCCCCAAATGTGCCAAAATATTCACAAGGCTCAAGTCAGATGGCGTCAGATGGAACAAATCTTCGATCGGCTCAACAGAAAATGAATCAACTTGCTTCACCAATTTATACTCTTCGCCGAGTGTATTGCCCGAAGTAGTATTCGAGGGATTCAGTCGAGACTCGCTATTAACGTCATGCTTCTCAAGCTCTGTCTTCAACCTATCATAGTAGAACAAATGCGACTCTGGAAGCGGGACTTGCGATATCGAAGGAGAACCAGGAGGAGTCAAACGATCCTCCTTTTTCACAGCTGATCGTCTTGCTTTTTCGTCAGCCCAAATAAATGCTATTCCAGGATTTCCCGAAGGATCTTGCCCAGAATTCGTGACGCGGTGGTTCAAAATATTTGAAGAACTTGCATCTACTTCAAGTGCGCATGTACTGATTTTCCCACACTCAGCTGGCATCAGAAGGTAATCGGGTAATGTCTCTGGATAAACAAAACCATCCGCTCGGCTTTGATTCAGCTTCGGAGTACCGGATGCGTTTGAGCGTGGAGTATGAGCAGTTTCACCTGATCTTCTGTATCTTACGGAAGACAGGCGAATCTGGTTCATCCCGTACAGATTATAATCGATGAAGAACTGGAGAATGAACGGAATGTGAGCGTCATGCGGTTGAAATGGTTTTCCAAGTACGGCTCCATTCTGCATGTACACACAGAAACATTCATGAAATAAGTTTCAATATTTAGAAAATATGCGAATCATCCAGAACTACTCACTAGCAACAATTGAGAGATCCTATTAAGCAACGCTGGGTTGTAATAAACCACCCGCAGGAACAGGCAACTTTCATCATGATATCCATAGAAAGGTGTACCGTAAACCAACTCCACCAAATGAATGTGCTGATTTGTTGAATCCGCATTTCCCATCGACGCATTCAGGGCTTTGTTCAAACTTGCAGCAAATGGAACACATACTTCCTTAGCCCTTGTGCAATCATCATACGGAACATGCAAGTACGGAAGCACACCGTGTATATGAAGGCACACTTTCTGTCCAACAGGAGTTGATCCGAAAATCCTGATCACAGGCACTCGTTTGACTTCCCCTCCACGAAAATCCGAGTATCTCACATCTGCGATAGTGAATCAAGAACTAAGATGAACATCGCAGAAAGCGGACCACGACGAATCCTCACCAAAACATCCTGGCGGGACTGTGTAATGGTCTGCAACCACAATGGTGGCTGAAAACTCACTTCGATTGTCTGACAAGTTCAGTGGAATCACAAACATCCTGAAAAACAATCAGCCAGCAAAAATCGGCCCCTCTTTCGTACTGCGTAAAGATCTTCAACAATCGCCAATAAAAGATGCACACCAACCTTGATTGGAATTTTTATTGCAACAATCTGGAACAGTAGCAATACAAAACTAGAAAATGTTCCGGATCAATGATTTCGTCAACAAAGGCACGGTATTTCGATTGAGACTTCATTATACAGTACTGACAAGGAGGAGTGTCAAAGAAACAACTGATCAAAGCTTCAATTACGCAAGCCAGTTTGTAGACAAATTCGCATAATACCCGACATGTACCTTCGAGAGCTCCACACTAAAACTGATACAATTTCAGAAATCTTCGTCAAGAGTGAATTTCCTGTTCTGCTGTCCGGAGCCAGAATTCGCAGAACCATTTCCACTCACGGCAACGCCAAACTTCTTGTACTCTCCAACTCTTTTCTCAAAGAAATTTGTTTTGCCTTCCAGCGATATGTTTTCCATGAAGTCAAACGGATTTTCGGACATGAAGACCTTTGGACAACCCAGCTCCAGGAGGAGCCGATCAGCAACAAACTCGATATACTGGGCCATGAGATCACAATTCATACCGATCATTCGCACAGGCAAGGCATCTGTCAGAAATTCCTTCTCAATTTCAACAGCTTCCTGAATAATTCGAGTCACACGAGCTTTCGACGGTTTCCGTACAAGCTTCCTGAACATGAGACACGCGAAGTCACAATGCATGCCTTCATCACGAGAGATCAGCTCATTAGAGAATGTAAGCCCAGGCATAAGACCACGTTTCTTCAACCAAAATATAGAGGCGAAACTACCAGAAAAGAAAATCCCTTCGACAGCTGCAAAAGCAATAACACGTTCAGCGTACGGTGACTTGTTACCAATCCAATGCATAGCCCAATCAGCCTTCTTCTTCACACACGGCATGGTTTCAATTGCGTTGAACAGTCGATCCCTAGAAATGTACAATAATACAAGTTACATATCAATCCAAATATTCCAAAAAGACATCATTGAAAATTGAATTCACCTTTCACTTGCATCCTTGATGTAGGTGTCAATGAGCAGCGAGTACATCTCTGAATGAATGTTTTCGATAGCGATTTGGAAACCGTAGAAACAACGCGCTTCAGGGGCAGTAACTTCTTGAGCAAAGCGCTCAACAAGATTTTCATTCACTATGCCATCAGATGCAGCGAAGAAAGCAAGAATGTGAGAGATGAATTCGCGTTCCTCAGGTTTCAAACTTTCCCAATGCTGGAAATCCTGCGTACACGGAATTACAGAGGTTAAATCACATTCGTGTGAACAACAAAGTGGGTCTTACCTTCGAAAGATCTACTTCCTCAGCAGTCCAGAAGGAGGCTTCAGCTTTCTTGTACATTTGCCATATGTCATGATGCTGTATCGGGAACAAAACGAATCGGTTTGGATTGTCTCGCAACAGAGGCTCAACCTCAACATCAGGGTCTTTCAAGATTTCCTTTTCGGCGGGCATTGACTTTAATGCGTCAGATTTTCCGGGAGTCTGGAATTTGACAATAAATGATCGATAAATTGGCAAGATCAAAGCAGCGAGCATACTCACAATGTTTTCCTTGTTCATAGTCATAACACGAAGACCTTTCACGGACGAAACAATATCACCAAGAGCCTCCATCTCTATCGTAGACCACAGACGGAACTTTTTGCACAGCGCGAAAAGTCTAACGTTATTCTAGCAAAGAAATTACGGATTAGATTAAATTAAATACTGCATAAATGAAGTACATGCATTTCGGTCACATACAACTTGGATCAAATTGTAGATCAGAAAAATTCATTGAGGTTCGCCACACCGATTCCAATCATCACTGCTCATTCTCAATTCACTGATGCAGACGACCACCCATGGCTTGAAATCAGCCGTTGTATAAGAATTGGACAGGGCGTATCTTCGCGCCCGCGCACCGGATTGTTCGCATCTTCGAAATAAAACGTCATACGGAGGGCCCGAATGTTTGAGCTAACTAGCGGAAATATTGCAAGCTCTGAAACGCCCGCAGCCAACGGTTCTGGTCAGCTTGGTGCCTTAGAGTTAACGGAATTGGGAAAATGAATCTAAAGTGTACTCAAAACTGGAGGTCGTTTCAAAGTTAAATCCTGTTTGAAATTGCTCTACTATGGAGTGTCACTTCATAAAGCAGATCATTACAGCGATCTGATAGACACTCATAACCTACTCCCGGACTTGCTTGTGGAGCTAGTATAGATGGAGTTGGTAGTCTGGCTCCCCTCCAACTAGGATGCATTATAGGCGCGAAAATCGCATTGCGAGGCGAAATTTGAATTACTGTGGGCACTGAAGTTAGGCTGTGATTCGAAATGATATGTATTTGTCTAATCGAAGGAACTGTGCTATTACAGGGTTGGAAACCTCGCTTATTTGATTTACAGTTCTGATTTCAACGGGCTCATCGAACCTGTGTTCAAGTAGTGATCTATCATATTTACTCTCATATTCAACAGTGAAATAAAATTGATGAGAACGAGGCCGTTCGTGCTCACATTTGGATGCAAAAATGTCAGAGATGGGCAGTGGGATCAATGTTTTTGTTCGAATCAGGTACGGAAGTATGACTCAATTTTTGGATCACTCGAAGTAATTTGTGAAAATTTCCCTAGACCTCTCAGCAAAGCGGAAGCTTCCAAGTACCAACAACCAGCATTCACCGCTGTTGGAGATACTGTTGTTGTACTTCGCGACCCATCCTATCCTGATACAGGAGCAAGCAGGACCTGGGACTTCAGCCAAGTTTTTGGACCCACGTCTACTCAGGTATTCGTGGAGATGCATGGTTTAAAATCGTTCTTCGATTTTCAAGAATTGGGTTTTTTACATTTTTGAGCTTGTCTTTCTGCTAGCCCTCAAGCTGTTGAGAACTCGTTTTCCTAGAATGATCAAGTACAATACAGTAGTGTTTTCTACATCATGCATTGAGATCTTTTTTAACCTTTTATAGTTCTAATCTGCTGCTTTCGAGCGGCATTATTATTGTCTGAAAGCTTTCCAGTGTTTTACTTAGCGATTAATTTTTGGGTAACTTTGATGTACAAGATAATGAAGTATCCATTGCATGATTCCTTGTTTCCAGGAAGAAGTATATGATCATTGTGTAAGTCCAGTGATAGCTGATGTGATCAATGGATACAACTGTACGGTTTTTGCTTATGGCCAAACTGGTACTGGCAAAACGTTCACGATGGAAGGCGAAAGAAAACCGGATGTCGCCTGGAAAGATGAGCCGAACGCCGGTATGATTCCCCGTGCAGTTTATCAACTTTTCAGTGAACTCTCTTCGAAATCTGAGCCTGGTCCTGATCCAAACGTGGTCCTCACGGTTTCATACATTGAGCTCTACAACGAGAATCTCTACGACTTGCTGTACGAAGGCTCAGGGGAGCGACCAAAGCTGCAGTGAGTTGAAACATTCTCATCACTACGATGTCATGTTTCTGATAATCTGTCCCCTGTCCTCAGAATGTTCGACAATCCTGACAACCGAGGATCACTCGTCATCAAGAATTTGTCTTCTTATGAGTGCAAAACGAAAGAAGAGGTCATCGCTTTGCTGGATCGTGGGGCTGCTGCAAGGAGAAAAACAGCGACAAAATTGAACTCAAGGTCCAGGTGCGTGAAGGGAATATTCTATTATAGTTTGAAGTAAGAAAACCTGCGATAGAAAAATGCTCTGTTAAAAATAATTTTGAATACAACATTCGACCAATTTTTCGCTGTGGCAAATCGTCGCTTGTTATTACTTTTTCGTTGCGAATGGTATTGTCATGGATTTATTCCTATTTCGAAATGCACTGCTTTGACATTAGGAATGTTTTGTTCGTGACAAATGCGATTCTTACACAGTAACTTCTTGTAGATTTAATTTTCCTTTTTTGAAGACTATTTCTGTATTGAAAATAATTTTTCTCTATTCGCTTTAAGCTTTAAAGAACGACGCATGATTTTAGAAAGTTGAAGAAAAGTTTCTGCGGACTCAAAACTTCGATCACGTCCTGGAAAACGAGTCTTCGGTGATTTTCGTCTAGATCTTCTGTTTTTTCACCCACGGACTATCACTGTGTTCTTTTTAAATTGTTATTGCTGTTGCTGCTGTTTCCTGGCACAGAAACGAAATTATGAATGGCGGACTTGTCTTGTTTACAGTCGTTCCCACGCTCTCTTCATGATAAGCGTCTTCTCTATGAGCAAGCAAGAGTCCGAGATCGGTGGACTGGGTTCTCGGCCATCAATGCAAAGTCAGGTGGGCAAGCTGAATCTAGTGGATTTGGCGGGTTCCGAAAGTGTTGGGCGGAGTGGAGCAGTGGATGCGCATGCGCGTGAAGCCGGTTGCATCAATAAATCGCTTCTGGCTTTGCGAATGGTCATCATGAACCTTGCCACCGACACAGGTGGTCACATCCCATACAGGTTGGTACAGTCAAACCTCTTCGAGTCAAATTGCGGAGGAACTGGCAAGAAAATGCGAGTTGAGGAGGTTTGGAGTTGGGGAAATAGAGCATTCTTTGGGGGGAAAGAAAGAAGAATCACAGGAATTCGTTGTTCGTGATATTCTGAGCCTTGAATTGTTTCTTAAATGAGTTGACTGTACACTGAACTTGGAGGTGAGTGTTCATTTGTCCAACTAGTCTTTCACCTCCTTTGAAAACTCATTGAGTTACTGTTTTGTTGCTTTTCTCTTTCCTGTATCAATTTATAAAAAAAAATAGCCGAAAGGCCCTGGAAAATTCAAGTTACGCAGGTTTGAGGGGGAGAGTCTTCAAGTTACGGAGGTTTTTAATGCATTGTTTCCAGTTGAATTCAGACATGGATTTTTAAAGAAATATTCGGCATTGGCAGGCAATCGAGGTTCGACCATAATTGCTTCCAGTGAATGGAAAAAAAAAGCCAACATAACTTTTAAATCCTTTCGCAGGAGCTCTAAGTTGACTCGTTTGTTGCAAGACTCGCTTGGTGGAAAGACAAAGACGACACTGATTGCCGCTATTTCTCCTGTTAATGAACACCTTGAAGAGTCTGTGTCGACGTTAGACTACGCGTGTAAAGCCAAGAGCATTGTGAACAACCCGGTCTCGTTGAAGCACCATTGGAAGAAGCAGTCCATTGCCGAGTACCTAGTCAGAATCGAGCAGTGCAAAAGCCTGCTGGAGGCAACAAGGCGTGAGCATGGCGTTTACATGTCCCCCGAGCAGTTCCAGCAATGGCAGCAACAGTATGATGATGTGTTGGTGCGGGAGGACAAAGTGCGACGTGAATTACTGGAGGAGGAACGTGCGGAGAAGGCTGATGCCGAGTTGCAGCGCCGAGCAGAAGAGCGTCTTGCTGCATTAACTGCTCGACTTGACAAACTGGTTTTGGCGGAGAATGAGGCTCGTGTAACGGCTTTGCAGCAGATAAACACGCGTCAAGTGATGAAAGAAAGAGCCGAAAGAATTCAGGAAGCGTCGAAAATCACGGCAGCTGACGCTGAAGTATTAGCGAAAGAGCGTAGTCGCTTACAAGGCGTGAATCAGCGCTCCACCAAAGCTTTCCAGACTTCCTGTCCTGAGTTTGAGCGTAACTTCGACACGATTATGAACTTGGAGCAAAATCATATTGATGTCAAGTACGTACTTCATTTGACGTAACCGTTCTCTGGTTGGCTCATAAGTTTTGTGCGGTCCGGTCACCTATGCTTCCCCTTTTGACGAAGACATGTTCGCAGTAAAATATTTATTTTTAGTTATGTGTTTCCATTTCCTGATGTCTGTTCAACTATTGAAATGCCGAAGTTGAAACATAATTTGTCCTGGGTCCCCGCGTAACGATGCTGATTCTATCGTGGGTGCGTTTTGCCATCCGGAATTTTTGTAATGCGAAACGATTCCCCCTCAAATGGGTAAATTGTTGAATTTTTTCCAGACACTCACCACAGGACCATAGTTAACTATGAAATGTAGTTCTCAGTATAAAATCGAAAGTAATTCTGAAAACGTCTTCGTCTTGAATTTCTGAATTTCACACAAGACAAAAATATGAAAATTTATATCTTCTTTCCTCATTTCTTGAGTTTACAAAATCCAAACCTTGAGCAACAAAGTGATAAAATGCACCAAAGTGATAAAAGCGTTGTGTAGACTAAAAATATTTTTTTTAACGTGAAACAATATCGATGTGTGATTCACACTTTACTGCCAACCAAATTTCATCATGCAAAATTTCCGTTGTACGGGCCAATCGCCATGCGGGGACCCGTGCACGGATGTACCCTGTCCGATTAAGAACTTAGATTCACCTGCTACATGTGATGTTTTCTGAATTTGCATCAAGTCTCGTCAAAATATCCGGTGAAAAATATAATTGTTGTTGGTAGTGCAGAATATTAAGGCCAACTTCAAATATCGTATTGATAATTGAGAAGCTACTTGAAGGAAATCTGTAGCACAAAAAAAAAAAAAAACGGAGACAAGCTATAAATCTCATTTATCTCGCAGCGTTTTGGATTTATCTGAACGAGAATTTTAAATACTCGAAGATTTTAATTTGCCAGCATTGGAGAAATATTCGGAATTTCCTATTTTACTTGTGTTTCAATCTCTTTTTGTTCTTTAGCGCAACCAGTGCTGATATCACAGACATGGAGACCGAGGTTCGAAAAGTAGCGCGAGTTGTCAAGCTACCCGAAAGCGGCGCAAGTAATGTTGTGCAGCAACAACTGAGTCTTGGTACGAATCCCGGCCGCATCTTGGAGCAAATGAACTCGAATGCCAGTGTTGCCAAACACGACACACTCTTGTCTGCCGCGTTTTCCGAGCGAAACCCAGTCGCTGATATTGTCGAGGAATGCGTCCGCCCACTTTGGAATAAGGCTGATGAAAACGTGTCTGGTGCCCGTCAGCTGTTTGCCAAAGAAGAGAGTCTACGCATGGCAACAATGGTTCACGGTGTTCTGTCTCAGTCGGCTTCTACAGAAGAGCAGAAAATGAAAGTTCTCAATGACTTCCTGCATGCACTTCGGGCCCAACGCGCCCAACTCTTAGATGACATGGAACAAACGAAGGCGCTGCGACAGTCTGTCCTGCAAACGTTCCAGGGTCAGCGTGCGGCGCAGGAGAAACGCAAGTACGATTTGAGTACTTTTATGCGTACTATAAGTGAGTGCAGTGCAGTCGCGACGAAGACTCTGCAGACCGAATGCAATGCTCTCACAACCGAGGCAAAAGCAGTCGGTGACGAAGCTGTAGGGAAACTTTTTGAGAGTGTGAACCAGCGTGAGGCGGCATGTAAAGATTTGGAGCCAGCTGCCTGCAGCAGGTTAATCAACGAAGCTCGTGTTGCAATCGTGGATGGTACAGAGGCTCTGCGTAAGGAAAGCAAAGACGAGATGCACAGAGCAGCGGAGGTACGCCAAGAAGCTGAGACTGCCGTCATACAAGAATTTTCTTGTGCCGAAATGCATCGCTGGGTGAGTCGCGTAAATTCCCTAGATTTAAAAATAACGGAATTTTTGAATAGTGTGCTAGTCAAACCTTGACTTGATGCCACTCCTTGTCTTCGCACGGGACATTTTGTGGCACGAAATCGGTGGTATTGTATCAGAGGAAATTCTTATTGACGGCTTCTGGTCCTGTATAGGTGAAGTAGGCTTGTTCGCGGAATGTTTTGGCCAACGAGTCCGGTTTATAAGAGAGGAAGCCACAGGAAATAATTTATGGCTCAAATGAACTATTTTTTACTGAATTTCGAAGTATGTAATAATACAACATATTTTCAAGTTTTGTGCATACAGTACTTGAGTACTGGGTCAAGTAAAAGAGTGGAACTCTTTCTTGCTTTTTTGTATCAACCTTTGAATGAAAGCACACAATTCCAAGATCAGGTATAGATATTTTTAATTAATTGTTTCTAGAGACTATCCCAGTTACAGTATTGAGATGCTCTTCACTGCGACAGTGATGGAAAAAACCACCCAATCAAATGTAAATGCGGATATCAAATTCTCAAAATTTTCGTGAGCATGGGTATGTGATTCTCTGCAATAACCTATTAATATCCCTAGAAATATGCCTCAATTTATCTGATTTTCGCTTTTTTTTTTTTTTTTTTTTTTTGAACCTTGACTTCATGCCACTCCTTGTCTTCGCACGGGACATTTTGTGGCACGAAATCGGTGGTATTGTATCAGAGGAAATTCTTATTGACGGCTTCTGGTCCTGTATAGGTGAAGTAGGCTTGTTCGCAGAATGTTTTGGCCATCGAGTCCGGTTTATAAGAGAGGAATCCACAGGAAATAATGTATGGCTCAAATGAACTATTTTTTACTGAATTTCGAAGTATGTAATAATACAACATATTTTCAAGCTTTGTGCATACAGTACTTGAGTACTGGGTCAAGTAAAAGAGTGGAACTCTTTCTTGCTTTTTTGTATCAACCTTTGAATGAAAGCACACAATTCCAAGATCAGGTGGAGCTATTTTTAATTAATTGTTTCTAGAGAATATCCCAGTTATTGAGATGCTCTTCGCTGCGACAGTGATGAATAAAACCACCCAATCAAATGTAAATGCGGATATCAAATTCTCAAAATTTTCGTGAGCATGGGTATGTGGTTGTCTGCAATAACCTATTAATATCCCTAGAAATATGCCTCAATTTATCTGATTTTCGCTTTTTTTTTTTTTTAGGGCAGGACATTTTCTGTCGCACTAGATCGGGATTTCCCTTAAGAACACAATGGAGGCAAATTCGAGGCACTAAATTGAAGGTTGACTGTTCATCTTTTCAGGCGATCGTCAAAAGTTTGCAAGAATGGGCTCGCGCGGAGCAGACGAAGGACAGAGAAAGCGCGGAGAAAATTGAAGCCTTTGTGCGCCGCGTTGTCTGCCAATGGTTCGAGCAAGCCCCGGAAGAAGCCGAATACCTCTTCACGTCAGCAGACACCGGCCTGGTTGGTATGACGACAGCGCTTGAGTATCTCTTCTCGTTAGTTCCGTCCAGTAGCAGCCCTGCGACGTCTGGACAGACGCCGGTACGTCGCAGAACACAGCCCAGTCATCCGTCGCTGTTGGGCGATTTGGCGCCGCTCACCCCGAAGGAGGCGCTGGTGCGACGCCATCAACAAATGATTGCTTCGGCGCAACGACTCGCGCAGCCATTCGAACTCGACAGCCAGTTGATGGAGGTGAGTCATTTCTCAGTGTTGGTGAATATTGCTGACATTCGTCATCTTTCTTTTATTTATTTTTTTCATTTGTGGTTCCCGTGGCTGAAGAACAAGGAGAATTTGATGAATATGAGCGGAATTTCAACCTCAACGGAAGACAGCGTCGTTAGTCAAGGTTCCCTGCAAGGCGGAAATCTACGCGCCAGGGCCATGAACAATGCGATGCACCTGAAACGCAGGCGCTTCCCGTGACCTTCAAATTATATATTTTTTACTGTACTGTATTATCTTCTGGTATTGGATCGTGATCTTCAAGCTATTTTCCACAACTTTCGGGGCCCGGTCGTACGACAAGCATTTGTTTTTCAATCAAGATTTGATTTCTTCTTATGTATAATCCGGAAGAGAACGGCACAATATATTGTATGGCTTGATCGCCAAAAGCGACTCCCGGAATTCGAAGGTTCGAGGATGTTTTTGGATGAGTGGCAGAACATATTGTCGTCTAACAAGGTTACAGAAATATATAAAATACTTGAAACGTTTGGAAATGTCGTGATGCCTTGAAGTCTCCGCGTTCTTGTTTGAAATAGTTTATTTTTGTTTCTTCTTGCAAGTAGTGCAGTATATATTTTTCGATGAAGGTAATCGGCTATTATTCGGGTGCGGCGTGCGTGTTACTGTCTCTTCGCAATTTTACTGCTGATTGAAAACCGTTGCTGTGAAGCATTCATTTAATTTTAGGATGTCTCGCTCGCGCAACAAATCGAACCAAGCTCCTGTACCTTCTGATAATTATACTGTAGTTCGAGTTGAAATGGATTTTCTGTTGGGTGTGCTTCAATTCAAATCACCCATGTTAATGACAGGTACCTTTACATCCTAGGATAATAATTTCAGTAAATTATGTTTTGGTGATTTGCGAATAAAGTAAAAGTTGAACTCCTCTCACAGAATCCGAAGTTTTCTACAGAAAACATATTTCAGATAATACATGATGTGGCTGCGAACCGAAATTCTGTCCTCTTTTTTTCAATCATAAATTCACCCTTTTGGCGCATTTATTCGGAGCTTGCATCATTCATGTTCGCTGTGCAGTAAATACCTTCACTGAAACCAATATCGTGATGTCTCCAGGGTTCAGTACAGTACATCTTCAACAAATTTTCTGCCAGCAGGCATCATGCTCACTTCCTATGCATACCTGATGCGGCTCAAATTTATTGCTGTTTTTAGCCGGAAAGGTATGCCAAACATGCTGCCCTCGTCAAGATGCTGCCAGATGTGTAAGCATTTCTCGTAGCGCACGGAAAAGAATTTTGATTTATTTTTGCTGAGGTCGGGAATGAAGTACAGTAATGACATTCCCATGACGACGCGTTGAAATCCTGTGGCCCAGGCTTCAGAAAACGATACGGTGATGAAGTAGAAGATCACGTCTATGGTTCAGGGTTATGCAGTTCCTGACGAGTCTCGTGACAGAACGATGTACTGAACATCATAACTCTAAAAAATGGCACTTCAAACGCATTTTTCAATGAAAATATTATTTTCACAAGATTTACTGTGATTATATGAAGAAGAAAAAAAAAGTCGAGTAGCTATACTACTGGGCGCCTATAGCTGTATGCAGTCGTGTTCAGTATACAGTATATATACAGCCTAGCGGCACAAAAACCAGTCAAAGAACTTAATCGCCGTTTGACACCTAACTGACAAGATGTGTATATAGACCGTGTGGTGGATTTTGAATTAAAACACACGCTTAATTATGTCTGCATATAACTGTGACACAAAAATTATATTTTATTCCTCTCATCATCAGTTTAACTTATATGCCGTATGTATCTGCTTACAGTTTTATAATACAGTACTTGATGGGGGCCGGGGTTTAGTGCATGGAAAACTAATTTTTATTTGACCAAATTTGATGGAAATCCAATTTTTACATTAATTTAAATTGCCGCATTCAAAATATGTGTGCACTACTGTACATGCAATGTCAGAACACGCGTATATTACTCAGCCAAAAGTTGACCGTTTTGAAAATTCAAGTCACATTTTTCAGTACTGCTAGTAATTTTTCATAGATTTCAAAGAATTGCAGCTTGATCCGATTGTCTGTATTATTTGATGGTCAACATTTTATATACCAGGCCATGTTTAAATATTTTAAGTATTGTATCCAGAATATGCTGTAATACTATATGATGCATAAAAATCTATAACAATAACTATTCAACAGCATTATAGAATCACAGCAGTAAACTTCAATTTAAATCCAAATTTCAGATTCAGTTTTTTCCCTTTCAAATATAATACTGTACCTTTTATTCTTTTCTGAAAAGTGCCTATAAATGCCCTTGGCCAGCATGCTTTGCCTTATAATATATAGACGACACAAAGTTCGATGGTACTTCCATTCGACTGAGTCATCAGGCGGGATTCTTAAATAAAGCAAAAATTTATTTTGAAAACCGCGAAACCCCTTGCAAAATAATTATTCTTGAGCATAATTTGTGAACATACTGTAATTTCAAATCTTTGCCAGCGGTTTACATAATAATTACAGGAACGTGAGAGATATACAGTACAGTATTATGTCTTAGAAATACTGTATATAGACAGCATGTCTAAATATATATATATATTTTGTATACACAAGAATACAGCTTATTGATATGCTAAAATTGAAGATAAATATGTTTAGCCATTGTATTATTTTTGAAACCCATAAAATTGTATGTTATTGCTATTATTCTCTTTTCTGCCAGTGCTATATAATACCTATAATAATATAAAATACAATACCTGTATATAATACCCCCAGATTATTTAGTGTAGCCAGCAAAAGTGATCCCTTTGAAATTTGACGGGGCATTGCTGTACATTACGAGGTAAGTATTGAGTTGGGGAAGTCTATATACATATTTTTCAAAGTAAATAATTCAATGTAGATGAGTTAAACAAAAATTCAACTTAATTAGTTGGTAGGTTCAAGTGATGAGGCATGCAGGGATAGGTCCAATTTTTGGTGTACACTATGCTGGAGGAATCTCTCATTCTATATACAAGTACAGTATGTAGGGGTATGCGCACAGCAATCTTGTATACAACAATTTTGTCTATGGAATGCATTTTCTCGAGAGTTCCATATTTGTTCCTCTTAATTCTAATGTTATAGGAGTTCTTTGCAACCAAATGCTCTCTAAAACAATTTTTCTGGTCCCTTGCATTTTGTTGATGGAGATGAGAGACAGTCCACTTGTTTAAGCTTAAGATAGCTGACTTTTAGAATATTATTGTATACCCAGTGAGGAAGAAGTTCTCCAAAAGATGTCCAAAACTCATCCAAATGTGTTCTGTGGACATTTTTGGAATTCGCTTGGATGAGTATTTGACACTTTTTGGAGAACTTGTCCAAAAAAACTGTGCTCTGGCTGATAAGTTTAGGCAACGTGTCCACCAGAGCCCAATTTCTTCTCTCTGGCAGACAAGTTTGGAGAACAAGTGTGGCGTACATTTCTTGGGCAGAAATCTTCTCAGAACTTGTCCACAAATTCGGGATCACTGTTGGACAAGTTTGGAGAACTTGTCCGTCAGATACTGGGATCAGAAAATGGCGGACAAGTTCTCCAAATTGTCCACCAATTTTGGATCATTTGTGGAAGAGTTTGGAGAACTTGTCTGCCAGACACTGCTGTTTGTGTAAAGCTACATTAAGAAGTGTGGTATCTTTGAAAAGTGGGCTGAAGCTGTCTGACTATGGGGTTGGACTCTCAAGCAAGAGCTTATATGGTTTCAAACCTCAGCTAGGAAAGGAATTATTCACTGAGGAAAGTTTCGATATAATTAGCATAACACTCTATAGACTAAATAGGCCATCTAGTTAAATAATGTAGGAGGTAAAACTTAGTAGCAGATTACAGTAGTTAAATACGCAATATGCAGTATATTACCTACAGAAGGGATGCTCTATATATATTGTATGCAGTAAATTGAATAGCAGTACACTAAGAAATCAATTTCTGAGAAAGAGGACAATAATGTGCCAACACCCTTGTGATTGGCTGAAAAATGTTGCCCAAATAAAGCTAAATTTTGTATTAAAAAATAAAAGTTTTGGATCCAAAAGCAATTCCAAAGCAGTTGTCTGTTGGATGACTTTTGAATAAAATTTGAACAGGATGTCTGATTTTTATCCAAAACTCATCCAAAGCAACTTATCCCAAACTTGCCCAATTTTGGCAAGATTCTTGGAAAAGTTGCTTTGGATAAGTTTTGGACCCAAAAAGAACATTTTTTGCTCACTGGGTATATTTTAAGACTCATACTACTGTACATATTTATTGCTGCTCAATGATGTGTAGTGATTTTACTGATTTCCTTTCCACAACAGAAAATTAAAGATGGGTTCTGCATGGACACGTTTCCTGAATTTTAGAAGTCAGCTTATGCTGATCTATCAAGCCATTATTCAATTGACCAAAGCAATTATAATTTCAAATTACTTTATTCCTCAGCAAAATGAAAAAAAAATTCTGGAGCAGAATTCAACATTTTTGTTGATATGTGTTATATATGTACATTACTGTATTATACTGATGCTTGTATCATGTAAACGTTCAAAAATTGCGTGAACATAAATTACTATTACTTAATGAATCCTGCAAATTAATCATTAACTTTAATAATTATCAAAGATTCCATCGTCTTCTGGGATCAGTAGGATGACGGTGTTTTTATGCTTGCGGACCTTCAAAAGATATTTTGACATACAGTACACAATGAAGAGTCATTCAAGGGCGGGAATTTGCACATAATGCAAGTTTAATACGACGGTATATTTAATGCTCGAATTTACTGATGTCGCGCATGAGAATTTTTGTTTATGCCTAAAATGATGATTTGTGTAAAACATTTTATTGTTCAGCAAGATTATACATACAGTATCATTTTATTCATTGAAAGATGTGTTTCAATCCAAATACCGTACATAATATCAGATGAAAATATAGTAATAACACAACATGGTTTCATTAAAAAATTTAAAATGCATCATGGTTTCATTCTTCAAAAAAGGAAGCATTTATCAGAATGAAATCAAGAAAAATACTTTTCATCAAATAAAAATAATCATCAATCTTAAAACTCTATGTTATGCATCGTATTCTTCTTTGTCATGCAGCACTTTACTACTTTCTTAATATATTACAGCAATAAGCAGCTGTCAATATTATGTGTGGATGTGTTTCTCACCATTTTACATGGGTATTTTATCTGTCGTGTGTTCTCCATTTTTTACCAACTCAATCAGCAGTATGGAAGGTGAAAATTTTCAAATTCTGAAAATGTGAACGAATTTCATAGCAGATGGAGTTCCATATTGAGTGGGAATTTGTTTGGTTGCCCCTGATGCAGATAGACGAGCACTGTGGATGAAAATCGGGCCATTCCTGTGCCTCCAGGGCTTGTCGCAGTACCTCACAGTCCTGTCCCACTGTCCTAATAAGGAGAGGCAGTGGGAGGAGTTTGTGTAGAGCAGGCGCAGCATACCTGGCTTTGGGGTCTTCGAAGCCAAGCATGCGTTCTCAGTACCCTCCCTTTCAACTCCTCAAAGCGGTGGGAGGGGGCAGCAGTGCGCAGGGTAAACTTTTGAGGACTGCACTGCTGCACACCCCGCCAACTCATGTGGCATGGTGCAAGTTATGGAGGAACTTATTTTCAGGGCTCTTCATGTCTAAGGTGGGTTGCTTTCTTGTTCAGAAAGTGTGTTTCTGGTTTCTTTGCTAATTTTATTAGAGTATGTGAAGGAGAGAAATGTTAGGATACGGTCTCAGTCATGTGTAATGCATCGAGCAGTCCATTCTCAGTTTCTCACTGAGGAAGGTTCTTGATATATGTGGTATGGAAAATAATAAAACTCAGTTTCCAGAAGTGGTTGCATCTTTACTCTTGCTGGTTCACCAGAGTTAGCCTTAAAATTTAGAGTACACAAATAAACCAGCATCATGCAGCACTGAACAATTATACATTTCAATAACTTATACTATTATTCCAACCTTTCCAGCATGCATGAATTTATCCTCTCAGTAAGGAATACTGAATGTAATTATATAAGGGGAAAGGACAGGCGGAAGGAGCTTTCACTGCATTTTCAAAAATGAACGGCGGGCTCCTAGCTCAATACATATAAATCACTCATCAGTTTCAGCATGCAAGCAGCACACTGCTGCATATGCCCTTCATTATAGTCCATGACGTACTGCATGCATAATAGAATCAGCAGTTTAGACAAGTGCTGATGATGCTGTACAGTAGGCATATACTGTACTGTAGTACGACCGTGCGACGTATGAATAAGCATTTGCGATAAGTATCCCGAATTCTTATCCCATACTTAGCATATGGGGTGAGTATCTTATTACACCGTGGGTCATTCGTTATACAGTATTTACCACTGCAGTACAACACCTGACATGGGTATATCTAAGGTGGGTTACAAAAAACCGGAAAGATCATGTACGCCAAGTAAGAATGCAGCTAGCTTATCTTCGTGAATAATTCGTGTGTGTTTGTTGAATAACGTCGAATGAAAGGAAATAAATAAATACAGCAGATTCTTTCGCTTTCGAGAAGACGTTGGATTTCATGTGGAAGTTATACACAACCTAAAACAGAACAGTAGAACACTTCGAATGATAACCCTTCATCGCTTTGTCAGTATTTGCTGTAGGTTCAGCAAAGTTTGAGGAAGATACTTCACTGTCATCGAGTTCGGGTTCGACTCGCAGTGTTCAACGAGGTCAGTCTAAAAAAACAACAGTCACGAACACAAAAAGAGATTATCAAATATACCGCCCCTAAAATAAGATGGCAACATTTATGCAAAAAAGCATTGAACACATAGCGCTACTGAACAATCGGGCCAATCACAACTCTCATTACGATAAAAATTTTAACGTAATAACTCGGTTTACCCTACAGCGATTTAACCTATCCAAATTCGCCGACGCCCGATAAATCGAACGTAGGAGAATTCAACAGTTTCTGTCCATACTTTCAAGTTTTTCCGTTGCAAAAACCTTCATCAATCATCATGCGTCATCTCACTAACTGTAGAACTTACGTTGAATTCGAAGAAACTGTTAGTTTGGACGACTTCATGGTCAAGGCTCCTCGAAAAAATCCGCCAGTGCAAACGGATGGCAAGCTTCATGGGATATTACGAAATAAGACTGATAAAGCCAAAGTGAATGCTTGTGTTCAAGTGAAGTTGCGTGATCCTTCGAAGCACAGAACCCGTAGGCGAAGTCACAAAGTTCACAGTGGACGGGCTTACGTACTCCAGAAACAGATTTGCGAAGATCAAAATGCACCTCTTCGCAAAGCTTCCAAAGATTACGCTCATCCCACGAGAACGTACTCCGTCGTTCCGGTCTACGTCAAGTATGATTTTGGCCAGAAGAAAAAGAGTTTTCATCAGCCGAAGCTCAGGGACAACAATACTCAGACGAGTTTGAGAGAGAACAGAGGAACGCGATTCAAATCAATACTGAAAAATAAGGCTCCGGATGAGTTATGCGATGAGAATATTCTGATACCCTATTCGACGCCGAATCGCAAACAATCCACCGAATATGTCAAAGCTGTTCAAGAAACTGTCGAGCAACACATCAAAGCAACGAATCCCGGCGATTATCAAATTATTCTGAATCACAACAGCATTTGTAGGGCAATGCATCTTCAGCTGGCTCTGGAAATCATGTCAAATTATGCACAGCAGCCAGCAATTGGGAACATTTATAAGCTAGCAAAATTGTACTGCGCTCTGCTGAATCTCAAGCCTTCACCGAACGCGGAAGCGAAGAACATGAATACATTATTTCTCGATGAAGGAATGGACAATCTCGCGAAGCATCCCAGAGGTGAGATGATGCTTTTTCATAAGCCAGTGTCTTCTTCATGTCCTGAGTATAACCATATAGCCATCAAACGCGACCGTGGATGTCTTCAAGATATCACCTGGATCAATCAAACGAAATAAAAGCAGAAACCCTGGTTCGAAGTTATCTAATTCATAGTCGAGCAAAATTCCTTTCAACCTAACTCAGCAAACGCATTTTAGCAATAGTCACGTGATATAATAATAATGTGTGGCAATAGTCAATAGGGATGACAGACGCTTAAGTAAGGAGAATTCATCTTTGTAATCGCACACATTCGGGCTTCTATCTTCCAGAGCGTCTTATCCTGACCTGGCGACTGAATACAGGTGGACTCTCTCCACAAGGATTTTCTCAGTATAATTACAGTATTTGTTTTGTGGTCCCATGAGGTTTTCCCCCCATGCTATAGGGTTTCTCTGCAAGGAATTTTTTCCAGTCCCTTGACACTTGCTGTACAGAGAGTGCACTTGTACATGCATTAATATTGTACAATACTCTACTGTAATAGACTGCCGGTTAACGTATTTCACTTGCCTGAATATCGGACATACATTGAGTACTCTTAGAATCCCCGGCGGACAAGAGTCCACCTGTACTTTCTCAGTGACATTGTCGGTTATTGTTCGGAGGTTTCAATTATATTAGCTTTACGGTATTTTCAAAGAGTAATCCTTCAGTTCATGACGTTTTGAAAGTTAAGAGCGCAATTAGCATTATAAAAAAATATTGCAAATAGCAAGAATAATTTACAGCAATATGGAATTGTTCGAAATGGATCAGAGGTACCTGGAAACGATCTGACGATTGAATGGATCTGCGCTTCATGAACAAATTTTGTAAACCACTAGGATGCATCGAAGAGGAAGCCCTCTCATCATTCACAGAAGCAGAATACCTCGCTATACAAAATTGAACACAAGAAAATTAAAAATGGAAGCTCGAGATGATCCTTCCCAATCACGTCAATGTTCAACTTCCAAATGTTGTGATTAGGTTAACAAATCTATTGGGGCGCGGTAATACAAAAACCCCTAGTAGGAGGTGCAGTATATCTAAAGGAAAAAACAATCATTAAATCTCAATATGCCTTCCGTGAATCGCAGATTTTCGAGAACTGAAAGGACGCATCCACAAGGTGACAAACATCGAGAAGCCAGAAAATCCCACGGCATTTCCAAAGGCGACGAGTGTTAAGGAAAGAATCCGTCGTATGGAGCATCGAATCCCTTGGGGCAACACAGGAGGCCAAGGTGACGTGACACCCGAGGGTAATAGCTGTTGTCGAAGAGAAGATCCCATCGCAAACCGGGCCAGCGCCATCGAATCGCAGATGTTCCTCACAGTTGCTCCGAAGGAATCGTGCGCTAAAATCCGCTACACTCGGCCCAAACGTTGTCGAAAACTTGTGCCTGGAGACCCGGTCAGCGGTGGTCAGCTTGAGCGTTATTATTGATTCCTCAACCACTATGTAATCATAGATTCATTACGTGTTCTTTTTTTCATACGACAGTACTTCGAATACGCTAAAAAGTCTCCTCCCGATTTACAAGCATTAAGAGTCCGGATCAATTTGACACCAGGATCACTTTACCTTGAAATTTATACTCCAATTTATAGGAGTCACCTGAATTTTTCAAAATTTAAGGAGGTGAGATTACCTTTTCAATGCATTCTTATTTGGAATTAGGTATTTTGGCGACAATGACTGACGTATTAAAATCCCAGATCAGACGTTGCACGAAGAACACCCCCCCCCCCCGCAGTCCGTCTCAAAATCATGATCGGAAAGTTATAAACCATACGACGAAAAAATCTGTTACAAATTAAGTAGACACACTTCTACATTCGACTTGGACACCGCGTCTTGTCTGGAAGAAGCCGAAAAGGTTATTTTGAAGACAATCCGGTCAATTTTTTTGTAAAGACGATGTATTATCCACAAGTCAAAAGATACAGCAGAGCTGTTTCCAAAAACAACCCTAGATCCATCGACTAAAGGCTTTGGAAGAACGGTCGATCTCAAAAACAAAATAAATTGTAGCATGTATCAACAAATTTTGCAAGAAAACAATTCTTGTCGAGGTTCTAGCTCATTATCACAGTTACGAGGAGGAATTTTAACAAGAACGTTTACGGTAAATCAACACAGCACCCGAAGCCCGGATTTTCACAGTCACGTTTGCATGGTCATGGGAAATGCAGAAGAACCTGTGCGCAACTGGGTACGCCCTGTCAAATGCGGAATTCTTTAGAATCTGCTGATGGCTTCTAGTCCTGTTCGCTTCATATGAGGTAACGAATTTGGAAATTCACAGCACTTCTCGTGCGCCGACGGACCCATCATACAGCATTTACAATAAGTTGCACCGAAAGCATCACTCAACATCACTGCGCCGCAACCGTTTCGGGATAGTCCGTTTCACTGTTCTCTCCAACCACTTTTCGATCCACCTGTACATAGCAGATGCGCTTTTCCGATCATGATTTCACATTTTCACCAGTCAAGAACGGGTCAGTGTCCGTAACAGAATGGTCCTTGCAATGCGGGAAAAGGCCGCCTTTCCGAAGCGCTTTACGAGATTTACGAGCTGACAAAGATTGTCGTAGAGCCTCAACTTTAGAACGTGTTATGGCATTTTCAATTGCCATTTGCTCAGGACCTGCAATAAACGAACAAGATGAATACACGACACAGTAACGCGAAGTAACTTGAATTGCGTAATTTATGTCTGTTCTCTTCTCTGACAAATAGCTCACCTGGAAAACGCCCTTCAGTAGATTCTTTTGACACGGAAGGATCAAGCTTGACTCTTTTAGCCGGAGTCGGGGCAGCACGGTCTTCATGATCCCCACTTTTCCGTTTACTATGATCACAAAATGAGCTCAACTGAGGGTTGGCACACAGCAAATCATTGAGTATGTGAATTATGGTAGCGATTCCTGGCCAGGGTTTTCCTTGGGTATCTTGAAGCGATGGGTTCAAGGTACCTGTATATCAACATAAGTATGGGGTCATTACATTCATAGTACTGTATACTCTAGAACGAAGATGAATTTTCAATCAACTCATCGTGCGGCATATAAATGCACGGCCCATGTCAGATTCATCTTTTGTCGCATTGGAACTTTACACAGTATTATGCACACAGCAACCCTGAACTTGCGCTATTATTCATCATAATTCATCTACGAATTTGACCGCAAATTCGAATTTTCAATGTCAAGTAACACTTACTGTACCCGGGTTGCAATGAATTTCCCGGAACAACAGATAGGGGGATAAATACTACAGTACTTTTATCTTCATTCTCTGAACATTCCATGAAATCCGGTGGTGTGTATAACATTCAATGACACACTGAAACGGGCGGTCGTTCGCTAATTAAAGCACAGTGTAATACAGTACAACATAATCAATTTAAACTACTCAGGGGGATATTGTAGGAACACATAGCGTCAGACACATTTAGGGATTTACCAGCGAACGTTCCAGAGTACACTCCGAAACCATGGTGTCGCAGCTTGTCAATTACTGCTTGATGATTAACCACCGGATCGCTGGCAGAAGAGGTTGAAGATGACGGTTTGTGGCATTCATCTCGCTTTCCTGATTCAAGGTTCTTCGGTTCAGATGCAGCAGATGACGACGCTTCGTCCTGGAAAGCTCGGGTTGCTTGAGCGGGTACAGGACATCTCACCGAGCTTGGTTTACAGGAATCAGGAGAACCGTTCTTCTGAACCTTGGGACAGCCCGACGCTCCGGATTTCTTTCTTTGCTGGGGAACGCAACATCTCCCCTGAAAAAAAAAAAAAACACCGTCAATATGAATAAAGTTTGATTCCACAACGAACTGCTACAGCTTCTTCAAATTAACTGTGACCCTAATAAAGTAGTTCAATCGCCCAACAAAACGATCAATTTTTTAATAAACAGAAGCAAGTTCCGGAGCATATCGTTCCGATGGGAACAGAGAATTATCACTAATGACAGGGAAGAAAATTACCGAGGTAGCAGTCCGGAACACTTCGGTCAAAAACTGATGCAGCGTCTGAGTGAGATTCCATGACGCATCAGCCAGTCCGTTCGTTTCACCGGTTCCTTCGTTTGCATCTGACGAATTCGCTCCGGAAGATTCCGGCTCTTTCCCTGAACTAACACAAGCGTCTTTGACACAATCACAACATTCCTGATTTGGTTTACAAACTTCACCCAGTTCCAGGGGAAGTTCCTCATTCACGAGACGAGCTTTTGGTTTCGCTCCCGCTGAAAAAATATTGTAGTCCATGATCACGCATAACTTAGGGTTTCGAAATTCACACGGATAAATGGCATTCTGGATGCTCCACAGGACCATTTAGAAGTGTGAGGAAATTAAATTGAATTCAAGAGACTAGAGATACGCACCTTGTCTAGCCTCCGGTGATGACTTCCTCTGAATCAAATTTGAACCAGAAGTTGTCGAGGATCCAGAATTCGGGCTCAGCTGAAGCTGAATGATCATCATGTAATCCCCAAGTCTCATCGTAAGATTTAATGGCGCCTTGCCGGACAGAAAATCGCTGACCTGTCAGTAAGATTCGCTGAGTAATGTCAACCCGAAGATAAGTAATAAATCTTCCGAGTACCTGAGATTCGTTGAGACTTTCCAGAGCCTGCATTATACTTTGCTCAGGGCGCATCGTCTAAAGAAATGGAAGACAAAATCATCACAGACTAATACTCCGTGAGGCGCTAAAACATGACTTCGGCAAAACTGAATCTTGAGATAGGCTATGTAATATTGTACACGCTCGTGCACAGAAAACTGCTCGAATCGTATCTTGAAGTCCTCCCGGTGCAGTCTGCTTCTTATTCAACTATAAACGTACTGACATGACTGCTCATCGCGGAGAATATTATTTCAAGTGGACACTTTCCATCACTGAGGGTGTTATACTATATACAGTACAATACTGGCTTCTTAAACCTACTCCACAAAGTTGATAGGATATGCTCACCAATAGACCTGCTTCCACGCTGGGTAACAGTATAATTTTCGCTCCCTCGACAACAAGGTTGTCATTCAATGTTCCTTCCCTCAGCAACCTGCCATTTGAAAGGATATTTCATTGATTTTTCCTTGCGGAACATAACAGATCCATCTTCCGTTTACAAAACTTGAATTGATCGAACTCACCGATCCCGATACAACAAGCTAATCCTTTCCTTCGGAACTTTCAGCCTGTGCGACACCACCTTCTTCAGCGTGTCAACCGAATCGGTTATGGTAACCTGAATCGTGAATTCACCTCCCGTGGTGGGATGAACCGAGATGGTCACAGCATTTTCATCTCCACAGTCCGATTCATTTGACAACTCCCACTTCATATCACCAACGTCGTCGTCCTCGCAAGACGAAGACGAAAGCGTCGTTTCCGGAGTTTCATCCCCAGAGCTGATGGGCCAACCCATGATCTCGACACGGCTCAACACAATTGACGAAACGACCGAGAGCTCCTTTCAAGAGGATTCATTACATGATCATCACACTTCAATGACGATTGGTCACCATAATCACAAATTCGGGGACGAAAGTCGGAATTACAATGCACATAACACACAATCCGATGCACGGAGCGTACTGGAAGGGCGAAGACTTCTACGGATGTTTCCAAGTACATACACAAGCACCATCACGTTAAAATTCTCAAGGCATGAAGATTCTGCTTTTTCCTGCAGGGCGAGACACGCGTTCCACGCGTTAGCAGCGGCCATTCGTTTTCAGAAGCCGCCATTACTCTCGTCTCCGCGTCTGTCCTAAGCGGGAGGGGCGAAATCCGGCTGAGCAACACCACTGGGCGCAGCGGCATTTGGGCGCGAAAATTCTGCAGACAGGCACTTCGATTCGGAGAGTGTAAGGTTTCATGATGGCCGACGAATACGTGAAGCAAGTCCGCGCGGGCGACCCGTCGGGCTATCCATCCCTCGCAAGTAACCGTAAGCGACAGAACCTGCCACTGGTGCTCGGTAGGATAGCAAACCTAGCGTGTGGGCCTTACCATGCCTCCGTTGGTTAGTCGCGTTGAGCCCACTAAGCGGGGCGGTTGTGCCCAAGGTGCGTCGAAAATCGCGCTTGCGGGCAGCAGCTCATTCTGATTTCGTGATTCGCGGGAGTTGGTTCGCACGGAGGGAGGCGGGAAATAGCGTATTTTGTTTCTGAATCCGTGAAAATGGCCCTCCATCCGTTGTAATTTTTGCGATTTGAATGCCTCGTGTTCTTTCGCAGTGAATCAGAAGTTGTGATCAGTGAAGGACTGCGAGAAATGTTTCCGTGGAAGGATGGGCACATGGCCCCAGCAGTGCAGTGTTTCGTGAGGTGAACTCGCGTTAGTGTTGACCTTAGTGAATGTGCAGGTGTGACGGAGGCACCCGTGTTGCGAGAAAAGTGTTGAGTGAACGGGTATGGCGCAGTGTGAGTGATGGAGTGCACGGCTGGGTGAAACCCGATCTTTATGGAGAGTGAGACGGTAATCCGGTGTGTGTGCCTCATGACGACGTCTGCGCAAGATGGTCAGAGAGACTAGGCATTTATGGGTTGGAAATCTGCCTGAGAATATTCATGAAGATAAAATCAAAGAGTTCTTCGTGAGGTGCGTTCAACTTGATTGCTAATGTTATGCCATCATCATTTTGATTAAAACGCTTTGTCTCCTGGGAAAAGTTAGTCTGTGTGAATCTGCGTTTCTGCTCTTCGAAAATAGTGTTTTGATGTTGGTGGACAGGTTGTAATGAAGCCATGTATCGGGTAGGGTGGGCTACAAGAGAGAAGGTAGATTTGTGTGGGTAATGATGATTTTCTGTGAGGTGAAGCTGGGGGTTTCTTAAGTGGCTGCGGTGTTGCGTAGGGGCACGGGGAACATCGGCGTAAAATTCAGCTAGGTGCAATTGAATGGACTCCGTGGTGCGCAGACGAAACGGCTCGCGTTCTTCCGCGAGGCATTGCGAGCCCTTCGGGCAGGCACAGGGAGGGTTGGCTGTGTGCCTTCGCAAGTACTCGACGCACGTGTGCCGGGAAGGGAGTGCGGGCAACAGAATTTTTGGAGGGGGCAACAGACAGGCTCATGGGAATGTGGCAATTGTTGCCTTCTCCCCCCCCCCTCGTTTACCTCGAAAGAATAGCCCGTCCAGCGTTGCCGGTTTCACTGATTTCAACGGAGATACGCGCTGCGTTGCCGGCCTCCACTTGCGCGGCCCGGGTCCATTCCGCGGAGTCGCCGACGGGTTTCACACGCAGCTGGTTTCGTGAATGTCTGATTCGCGGAGCTGCTGATGGCTTTGCCGAACGAAAGAACGAACGGCTTCGAGCTCTCTGCGTCGGAGAAGCCGTATTTCAGCGGAGCGTTACCCGCAACAATCACTCGACTCAGCAAAAGGGATATATTTACGAAATTAACGCTTGATATCCGGGAACCATGGTCTTGACTACAGACATTTTGCCGTCGACTCGCGTCTAGTTAGCCTTACTCGCGTTCAGCTTTGGACTTGCTCCCTAGGTCACAAACTTCCAATGAGGCTCTGTTGCGTTCGAACGATATTTTCAAGTTTCACCGGATATTGTACACTTTGCCCAGCTTCTAATTTGAGCAGTTCGATTTTGTCTCTGGAGCCGTTTTCGGAGTCTTCTGATGTGAAGTTGGATTTTCAATTCGTTGGTCATTCCGAGGGAAGTAGTCTACTGACGAATTTTGTTTCGTTTTCCGGGAATGGCGATGCGAATATTTCATAAACCCTTTTGACTTTCAGCATACCTTCTTATGAACTTTAATTTTTTAATTCCTGATTAATATTGAATGTATTACAGCTGAGCATCGATAAATCGAACCTTTCTCAGTCGAATTGTATTTGAGTTCCTCTCAAAATTCCCCGAAAATCAATCCATTCGAAACCTTCCTACCTCAATCCCCGTCAAAATCCGTAACTTGAATCTCCTGGATGCCTTTTGGCTATGACATAGGAAAAAGAAAAACAAACGAAATGCAAATTTTCATAGCTTTTTATATCTTTTGGTTTGAATGGAAGTAAGCTATTTCAGGAAAATGAACCCATCCCTCCAAATTCAGCATCGGTTTGCTCATTCAAGAAATAATACGAGGCCCAAAATGTCACCTATGATAGTTTCCCGTGATTCTTCGTTTCTTCCGACAACATGAAATAAAAGTTTCATTAACTCCAAGCCTCCCGAACTCGAATTTTTTGGTGATCCCTCGACTCCAAATTCGAGTCGAAAAGTTTCGATTGTATTTTGGCGAAATTACTGTATACTGATCCGAAGGAACTTGGTGTGATCTCATTCTTCGGCTCGGCTGCATAGAAATGGGCGAAGACTTGGCTGTTCACCCATTTTTCTTGGGAGATTTGAGCATTAATGTGTAGAATATGTAGAATAAGTGTAGGAGCTATAACACAGGAATTTTACTTCACTGGACTGTTCTGAACGCTGAACTGGGCCATGTCAAACTTGATCACGAAAAGCACGTAAATAATGATTTCTTTTTCCAATTTTTTTCTTGCTTTCATATGTGAGGTTCTGTACCAGATTTAATCAAAAGCTGCTTTGATGCCAGTCTAGAAACTTGCATGACTGCGTCGTCATCGTTGAGCATCGTATTTCTGTGATGATGCCCCATTGACGTCACTGGTGTTTATGCGTGCTTTGTGCGGAAGAAGGAATGGTGCTGTGTCTGTTGCAGTCTTGAGTAAACTAAGCTATTTCTTGCACCGTGGTGTGAAGCATCGCAATTTTTTTTTACGTTTTCGGTTAATGTAATGTAAGTTTGATCGAAGTAATTGTTGGTTTGCGTTTATTGCCCCGGAAGTTTTCGATGGAGATGATGGCTGATCTGGAGAATGGACATCGCACTGGGTTCTGGGTCATTTATAACCAGGGGTTGGGTGAAAGACGTTATTTTAGAATGGGCGGATCTGTTCGGTAGTTTCATTGAAATGGCAGAATTTAATATTATTTGCTCGAGGTGCCGATGATCCGCCAATGAAGTACTGTATTTTGGATTATATTATACTGTAATTTGATTTATTGCGGTTGGCTACCTGACGTGTTTGTCGCCTCTGATGTGGGATTGTTATTTCATGTGTACTGCCCCGTACATGATTCGTTCGTCAGATTTGGTAAGGATACTGACGCTGAAATCATCACACACTTGTACTGTGTTTGAGGAACGTTTTCGAAGAGCAGAAACGCATTATTTTTTGTTATTGGGGATCGATGTTCCGGTTCGTCAAAACACCGGAATCTCGTGCACGTTTTTTTCAGCACGCATCACATGGTAAACGAAGACAACTCCTTGAATCTTGAGGAATTCGGTTTATTTGGATTTTCGTTGATGATGAACGGTTCCATTGATTCTGGTTTATATGGAGAATGAGAGCCAGTATGTTTTTTTCGTCGCTTCAGTCGCGAACGTACTCACGACAAGGATCTTTTTTGATCGATGAATTAAATTTAATTGCAAGAATCTGGATGTCGAGGTCGGTCTCATTAAAATATACGATATATTCTCCTTATTGCGAACAATCGCTTCCAGTGAATTCGTTCTTTAGGTCCTTGCCATTATATCATTTGAGTTCCTCTATAACGAATTTTATTTACAATGCCCTTAGATTATTTTAATATTTTCAGTGGCTTCGTTGCAACGATATTTTACTGTACAGTGATTCATGTTTGAACTTTTCTTTGCAAAAGTATTGTCAACAGGGGCATACTTTTTTGTTAACTCAATTGTTTCTCCCCTTTTCTGCTCAGTTTGTTACTTGAGCCCTGGTTTCTGGGATTGAGGTTCTTTCCTGCAGCCAGAATAGTTCTTCAACCGAAAAATGCAGTACAGTACTACTGTAGTTAGTTGTTGAGTTTTGTGAAGTCTTTTCTTGGCCTGTAGTTGAGTCCCCCTACTTTCTGTCGAGCAATGGTGACCCGACTAGGACTCGGGCGAGGAGCGACGACGTGACCCTTTTGTTCGTCGACAGGTTCGGCCCTGTGCAGAGCGTGCGGCTTCTCGGCCAAGAAGAGGGGCAGGAGGGGTCAGTATGCGCAGCGGTAGCGTTCGTGGATATCAGGTCAGCGGCGAAGGCGTTTTCGGTGCCAGATCACCGACTCGACGACCGGACCCTTCGCACGGATTACTATGAGCCCGGCCTGGGTGCCAGGGCGCCGGGCAACGGGCCCGTCAACGGCGGCGGCCCACCACCGGGCGCCCAGCTCCTGGCCCCGCCTGACCCCGTGGCGGTTGCTGGCTACGTAGGCGTCGCCGTTCAGGGCGTCCCTCCACCGCCTCCGCGCCCGCCGCGCTACCCGCACAGGTCAGTATTCTATTATCATTATTTCTTCTTTTGCGAATCCTGTCGAGCCTTTGTTTCGGAAAAGAGTTGGGCGTTCTTCTGTCTTGCGGCATTCGTCTTTTGTTTTGGTCCGTCACCGTGGCGAGTGCAGGAAAATGAAAGCCTGTGATTGTAATGGATCATTTCGCGAAATCGTCTTGTGATGGTTTGATATTTCCATCGCCCTCGACGATGAAGTCGGTGTGCCAATATGTGTATGCGTGCGAAGGTGGAGAGGGGGAGAGAGAGATGGTGTAACAGTGATTCTGCTACAAAAATGTATTATATTCATTGGAAACTGGAATATGTTTAATGGGTTCTGGCTCGGGTTCGGTGTTCGTAACGAGCTGCTCGTTTGCCTCGCCGTCCCTAGAGATGCGACTGTGTTGGAAAGGAGGTTTATTTCCGGACGCCGCAGTTCTTCGTCGTTCCGGACTGCTCCCGGACGTCTCGAAAGGTCGTTTCCGGATGTTGGCTGATTTATCGTGTTCTTTGAAATTTTTGAAAATTATGTCCGAGCAAAAATCTTCACTGGCTCCAGTATAATCTCGTTTTAACGAATAATCATTCGCAAGAAATCATTTTCTAGTCCCTGTCCCAATAGCCACGATGCTGATTGAGTTGAAAAATTTCGCTGTAATTTTTTGAACAATATAACGAAGCTATTTTACAGCTCC